GCTATAAGATCATCTGCCTGAATATATTGGGCTTGATTCGGTGATTCAATTCAATAATTTAGGCCACAATATTAGATTAATTACTTCAAGGCAGGTATTTTAGCTTGTAGTGGACATAAGTCATGTAGGGCTATTACTTAATAGTTCTCTTTCAAAGTGTTTTTTTATTATTAAAAGTTATCCCCTTGTTTAATTATACCCACAGGGTTTGTTTTTTGTCTCCTTTCATAATATTTATTTCGCCTTTTTGTTGCCGCATTATCACCCCTCTTTGAAGGGTCAGAAATTAATGCGTGACATTCTAGAAAATAGGGGATAATTTTCATTCATATTTTCTTACGAATTTTTTTTAATATCATAACATGTAAAAAATAAAAATAAAATCTCTTTATCTCCTCGCAGTGTGATGGCGTATCTAGAGAACTTCACTTCACAGAATATTATAATTTATTGACAAGAAAATACAGTGAAACGAAAAATCATTCAATCATAGGTTTTTCTCTCAATATTTTTATACTTTATGCTCACGATAAAGGTCAGGATTCACGCAAAGAAAGCCTGCAGGGATTCAAGCAATCCAGTGGCTCCCCCTAGCGTACCTGCTGCTCAGAACCCGACGACTGATGTTTACAAATAATAAAAGAGTTGAGTCTGTCTGCTTCTATCCGACAAAAATCGAACTCTAAAAATAGCCGGACAGGGCTAGACTTCTCTTTGAGATAAGCCTTTATAATACCGTTGCTAGAAAATTCGACGTAATAACCTGCCCTTTCCGCGGGAAAACTCGCTCAGCCAATCGAAAAGCCGGTATTTATTTTATGCGATATAATCTTGTCTGCTAGCCAGAACAAAAGGAAAAAAAAAAACTAATATTCTGTTATTATCTCGTAGAATGAAAATATTTGATTACAAGTGCACTTGGTGGTCCAATGATTACTGGCTAAATATGGAAATAGATGTATAAATTTGTCTGTAAACTTATTACGTAAGCTAATACTTTCCATTGAGCTGAATAAGATGTGGGCAGCTATCAAATGTTTCAGGCAGAATAGACATTAAATAAAAGATGTAAACTCAACGAAATCACACGGACAATCTAAACGCTAAGACTAAACAAATTCGAATGCTATTAAAAGCCGCACATAACAGATTTTTTAAAAAAAAGGAAAGAAAAAAAAAAGAAATTAATCTAGGTCACGATATTTGTGTCTTCCCGTGCCGTTAAAATATTTATGTGAATGTAAGTTTTGTATACAAAGTTTATTTCAATGTAATCATCAATGTAATCACGGGGGGGGGGGGGGGGAGGCAAATTTATTTATTTATTTTTAATTATAAAAGAGCATAATAGGAAATTATGCTGATGGGCAAAAAAAAAAAACACTTGATATTTAAGCCGTAGATCTATGTGGACCTATAGGTCTATATAATAATTTTGCAAGTAAAGAAAGCAATGTTCCGTTTTTCAATAAACATCGCTCGTAGCCAACAGAAGGTCTTGACCTTTTCGTCATACGTCTGTGCTGCACAATAACACTTAAAAGCTAAAATGTAATATAGGACACGTTCGTTTGATAAGACAACATGAGTAGGACATAAGGATTAACAATTATTTTAATAACGGTTTTTCAGAAACCATATAATACACCTTCACACCTGTTGTAGGCCAGGTATTTTAAACCAAGGGAAATAACTCGTTAGAAAGTATTTGTTAAGAAAAAAACCTGGGTTACCGGTATTAGAGATTGGCTTCAATTAATAAAATAACTATATGTGAGTGGCTTATATTTTTGTTTTTTGGTACTACCATCAAATTTGGTACACGGTTCTACTCTATGCCGGGCAGATGCCTTTTATTTAGAAACATGTCACAGGATTATTTTATGGTTTGTCTTCCTTATTTCATCTAAATTGTAAGAGTTGGTATGTGATAAATTCGATTTGTCAATGTGATTACCTTGTAACATTCTATCACGAAGTTAGCAGCTTCATTATGACTATTTGGACAATTCAGATTTTTCTGTAATGGAAAGGCGCACAAAACAAAATCACTTGATTATGTAACAAATGTTACATTATGAAATACATTTTCAGCTCATTATGTAATACCTTTCAGTAAGTAAACTCACTGTCACTCACCAAATACAGGATGTAGCAAACCAGCTTTAACTCAAGTAATAATGTGTGACACCATATTTGAACACCAGCAATAACATTCAAATGTTTTTATTTGGTTTTGTTTTGCTTAAAAAAAACATTTAATACTGTTCAATATAATAATATAAAATTTAAAAAAAATCACTGGAGTTATTTGTAAATTGTAAAAAAATAAAATGATTGCCAAAAAACTGTAAAATGAATTCCATGTATATTACAAAAAATACATAAATACACAAAAGCCAAAAAAGGAGGAATAAAAACAGCAAATTATCCCTAATTACATGTTTAAACCAGTAAAACAAAGGTTTATTAATGATGTGTAACAACATTTAAATTGAACAGATACTAATAATAAATTGTAAATTGAAAGAATTGTAAAATGTTTATAAATCATTTAACAAGGTAAAAAAATATAATTTGAACAGACATTAGCTTTCAAGTACTTTCTGTCTGTTTTACATGGAAATAAAATGAGTGGGAAAAAAATGCCATTAAATGTCTTAAATTTGTTGGACTTATAAAAGTGTATACTTGTATGAATTACAAGATAAAAACTAGCACAGGTACCACATAGCAACAGAGACTAACACATAAACAGCAATAGTAGCAACTCCACAAAAGCTAGCTAGGAATCACAGACTGATTAAAAGACTAGGCAATCCTGTGATAAACGTTATCATATTTCTTTTAAGGTATAAAGTCTAAATAAATATTGTACTTAGCATAAAAATGTTAAAACAATCTTTTTGAACCTGTTATTAAATTAGGAAATCAAGAGATTCTGAAAGTATTCTGTAGAGATACCTATATTTAATAATTTTATAACTGAGTTTAACAAAAGAACTAATCAACAGACACATCAAGTAAAATCACAAGAACTCTAATGTTAATTTTGTTCAGCTTACAAGATTTTAAAAGTTTTAAAAAGATATTTCTTGCTACAAAGAAAAAAAAAAATTTTCTGATGGATTATATGGTTAAGTTAGGTTAGGTTATCCTAAGGGTTGGCAGTACCTCTAGAGTAAAGATCCTGCTTTAAAATTTAGTTCTGATACATTTATTTAGTAAAACATACATCACAAGTAATAATTTAGGTGAAACATTTTAAATTCTACAATTATTAACACAAAAGTAATCCACATTTTTCATAACAAGAAAATTTCAAGCATGACCAGACTAGTTGTAAAATTCTGCAGCCATTGGTAGCCAATCACCTGGTAAGACAGCCAGAGAAATTCACCTGATGTGCAGTATACAGCAAGATATGAGTTTATGCCAGAACCACAAAGCTACAATGACAGTTGAAGCTCACAGTAAGACAATGACAAGGAGCTGTGCAAGAGATAATCACAGCAGCGCAGGCAAGAGAATTGAGTATTGAGAAAAATACAGTAAAAATATCAGATTCCATCTCTGATGTAAAAAATACAATTCAGAGAGCTAAGTTTTATCACTTATTCAGGATATTACCTGAACAAATATCCCTCCCCAGGAATAAATTATTTTTTTTTAAATATGGTGTAAGCATTAATAAACAACATGTGTATAGCATGTTAAGAAAAGAATGGAAGCAAAACTATTGAAACTGGCATAGACATTCTAGTCCACCTGGCAATAATTTTGGGTGACAGGCTGGAGTCTGTATGACACTATTAAGCCCATCATTCATGGAGGTCAGAGAAACTGAGCTCATAAACAAAACACAGCCAAACTGGCATAGTCTTTGAATTCATAAGACCTTCTTTACAATCTGCTGGTGAAAAAATACCAGCCAAACTGGCAAAGTCTTAGTTTATATTCATAGACCTTCTTTACAATCTGCTGCTAAAAAAAACAGCCAAACTGGCAAAGTCTTTGTATTCATCAACCTTCTTTCCAATCTGCTGGTGAAAAAAAAAAAACAGCCAAACTGGCAAAGTCTTAGTTTATATTCATTAACCTTCTTTACAATCTGCTGGTGAAAAAAAAACAACAGCCAAACTGGCAAAGTCTTAGTTTATATTCTTAGCCCTTCTTTACAATCTACTGCTGGCAAGTAAGACAGGTGTGAATCACGTCCTTGCAGTTGTCCACCTAAACTGGGATCAGACAACAGCCCATGCCACATCTGTACAAGACAAATCCTGAGAAACTTTCTAGCAAAATAATCAATAGATTTTGTTTTAGTTTTTTAGCTGATCTATAGTAATCCAAACTTTCTCAAAAATTTAAATTCACATATATCAATCTAGACTTAAGTTATAGACAACATCTAATTTAACTGCTTAAACAAAATAGCTACAGAATGTTACAAAAGTTTAAACATACATCTATTAAGTTGTTTACAATAATAGGATACAAGGGTCAAAATTCTAGATAAATACATCTATTAAGTTGTTTACAGTAAACTGATACAGGTAATAAATGTTTAGATTGATAAATCTATTATTTTGTTTAAGTAATACGGCAGGAATGCCAAAATTTTAGATACCTACATCTATTAACTTGTTTACAATAATATAATACAGGTGCCAAAAGTTTAGATAAACACATGTATTAAGTTGTTTACAGTAAAGCACATTTATCCTACAACCTGCTAGCACATTTGAATGAAAGACGTTTTACATCTGAACTGTTAACGCTTCCATCTACCAATCTTCTGGTGACAGTTAGGACAGGTATGAATGACATCCTGACAGCCCTCAACACACAAAGGTATTAAACAGCAGCCCAGATCACACCTTAAACAATAGAGACAAAAATAAATATTTCTTTTACTTTCGGCTTAGATAGCTTTATTGAACTACTAGATTTTCAAACCATGTGATAGAAATATTTTGTTTGCCTTAGCTAGAATTAAATAAAGATCAATGGTACACGGGGTAGATAAAGTAGAGTGGGTATCTTTTTCTCTCTACAGTGGGACGGAGTGGCCTAGTGATTGAGAGCTGGACTGCTAACCCATAAGTCTCGAGTTCAAATCAGGGTTCAAGTCGGTAGACTGTCCATGAGACCACCCAACTATGATGGGTACCTAACTCATATTAGGGAGAGTATAGGCGGCTGGGCATAGTGCTGACCACACTATCTCTTCATATGCCGAGGTCACAGAAACAAGTGAACTCTGCTTCACTTGCCCTATAGACTGTCAGGTTTGAAAAGGGAACTTAATTTACTTTTACAGTATATGAATGCAAAATGCCTGTCTTTAGAAGTTACTTTCCTACTTCAAATCAGATATCCATCTGGGTATGCATAGAGACTTCCTAAAAACTAGAGCCCATGAACTGACTCAAGACCAGTGTTCCCTCTAAGCTGATCGGTTTGCGCGGCCGTGCAGTGATTTTGTAAATTACTTATATCCTTGTATAAGACATAGAACACAGCGCACACAAAATACACGTTGAACGCTTTTTTCCCTTAGAGGGAACATTGCTCGAGACTTTATGATTAGTATTCATATACTCTACTTCTTGAATACATGATCTTATTATTTATATAATCTACTGGCACAGTTGGATAGTAGAGTTTACAACTACTAATCCTGGAAGGCTTGAGTTCAGGTCCTGGGTTCATGCCTGTCAATGTCCCAGAGTCAAACAAGCCCTGATGAGTACCTGAATCACATTAGGGAAACATAACCAGCTGGGCCAAGGTCATTGAAACAGATGAACTCTACTACATCTGCCCCATGTGTCTAGGATGGGTACAAATGGGGAAAAGATGATAAATGTACTGGCAGATGTTTTCCTAAATTTGAACATCCATAGATTCTAACTCAGTGGTTCTTAACATTTTTGGGTGTACCGAGCCCCAACAGGTTCATATGCACATTCACCAAACCCTTCCTAAAAGTTCTATCGTCCACAATGAGAAAAATCCTATAGTGAATCATAGAAGTCAGGTGCGTCTTGACCTCCATTGAACCCCCAAGACAGACTCACCAAACCCCTAGGGTTCGATCAAACCCAGGTTAAGAACCACTATTCTGTTGTGTTGTGAAATCAGGAAAAATTGTTTACCCGACTATGCAGAGGATAAAACAGACGACCCATGAAAATGGCCCCGGCTCGTAGTGAATGGCAGTCAAAACATCGGCTTTACAGTGTGGACACATGCAACGTTCAGTGGCAGGGCCAAATTTCTTAATCAGGGTCAAGCGAGGCTCATTTATCACCACAGTAGCTGTCTTGGCTTGAGGGGGGGTGTACGGGGGGTAGCCTGCTTGAGGGGGTGGGTAGCCTGCTTGAAGGGGTGGGTAGCCTGGAGGTGGTGGATAGCCACCTTGTGGGGGTGGGTAGTCACCTTGTGGGGGTGGGTAGCTTGCTAGAAGGGGTGGGTAGCCTGCTTGAGGGGGTGCGTAGCCTCCTTGAGGTGGATAATACTCAGGCTGCTGTGGAGGGGGATAATATCCATCAGTGGGTGGGTATCCTTGATTACCTGTCAATTTAAAAAAAAATTTATTTTAAAATAAAAAACAGTGCTCTGAGGTCTAGAGGTTCAATATATTTAAAATAGAAATGCTATTAAAACTTTAAAAACACTAAAAGAATAAAATCAAGTTAACACAAATATGTAAAACCATTTTAAATTGAAATTCAACATAATGTATTAAGCAAAAAATTCATCAGCCTTCAACAACCTTTTTCTTCTGGGCTTCCAGGGTAGGGTGGGGGTGGTGTATTTGAATGTTCAGACATTTTTAATCTAAAAAAAATGAAATACTGACATGTTAAAAAATGACTGTAAATAAAAGTTAAAAGAAGTGAATGCAAGTGACACATAATACTTTCTGCAGACAGGAATTATAGATTCTTATTCAAAACATGTATGTTTAAGCTAGCTTAAATTTTTTTTTTTACTAACTGAAAAGAAAACAATAGAAAATATCATCAGGTTTTTTTTTCTTTCATTTCTATAAAGTTTATATTTCATAATTATGAAAACTGTATACTTGGGAAAATTTACATATAATAGCATGGGACAGCAAAGGCTAGAAGTAGAGAGCTAGCCTGCTAACCCAAAAGTCTCAAGTTCAAATCCGGGTGCAAGTAGAACATCCATAAGTCCACCCAGCTCAGATAGGTACCCAACTCACTTAAGTGTGGCTAACCACACTATCCCTTCATATGCCGAGGTCTCTGAAGCAGACGAACTCTACTTCATCTGTCCCATGCATCTGGCACATATGGGAAAAAATATATATCAGCAACTGGTATTACAGCACATTTTCATTTAATATTGCCAGAGGGCAATTATTTTTAAATTTGTTCTATCTATTCTAAAAGTATTTAGTCCCCCCCCCCCCTCCCCCACCCAGCACCTCTTGCTGTTACTGTTAGAATTCATTACCTGACTCTGTGTAATGTGACGACTCAACTTTACAATTTACACTGTAGATGCTGCAAGACTGGAATAAAACAGACCTATTTTTGATGTCTTTTCTAGATTTTATACTTCGTTATACTTTGGTCATTCAAATTTCTCTTAATTTTAAACACATTTTAAGGAATTGAGGGCTTGGGGGATTATGTTATTGTAATAATTATTAATTAGGGGCCTATAACTATAATAAATAATTTAATAATTAAAAAGTGGAAATCTAATATCTTTTTATAATTTATGTAATAAAATATGTATTTTCTGAGATACAGTCTGAGTAGATATTACTATAAATATAATTAAGTAGAAATATTTGAGTATTATTAGGCATTAGGCCTACAGTATTATATTTCTATGAGTATGATCATGTTTTTATGCTATGATCAGTATGTAGATCTAGTCTATGTTGTGTTGTTAGTTATTCATTTGTATGTCGTGGAGTGTTGGATGTCCCAATAAAATGGAAACTTCAAATTAAAATATTAAAACTGGGTCTGGACTAATAGCTAAGGTTTACTCAGTTTTAGTTTTAGTACTTTTAGTGGTAGTGTAAACTAATTTTAAATTATTTATTCTAGCTTTACACATCTTGATCTAGATTCTAAACATCTAGATCTAGTACATGCATATCATTATTACTATGGATACCCAGCAAGCGACACACACAAAATGTGTTACTTTGGAGTTGTGCCAAAATAATTTTTTAATGAATTCGGAGCTTACAAATACAAATACAATACCCTATGGCTATGTGATAAAATTAAGTGAACAGAGAGAACAGATATGATATATTATAGTTTTTCTTACTATATGTGAAATCTACTCAATTCTCAATTTAAACATGACAACTGAATAAAAAACGTCCATACTTTATCCTCTAGGCACTAATTTGGGGGTTGTAGCGAGTTTAGACTAAATTATTGAATTTTAAAATGTTTTGTCACTCACAGCTATGATATGACGGATCATCCATGACAACCTGGTTAAAAGTTGAAGGGTTTGACTTTTTAAGTGACCGTGAAATAGATCTAATTTTTTTTCACAAGAGAGTTCCTAAAAGTAGAATTGGCCCGTCTATCGTCGGGATATATTTATAGAGGAAAAAAAATTAAGAGAATGTCATCAGAAATAAATTTTAAAAAAGACAAGACAGAAGTGATGTTTGAATTCTTTTATTTCTTTAATTTTATAACAATTTTTATTGTACAAAAGAGCAAAATAAAAAACCATGCCAGGTAAACGTATCCATTCAAATAGCGGTCACGTGGTCAAAAAAAATAAAAAAAATTGGTTGTCATTTTTTGGACACATCATATAAAAAAAAGTGTTGAAGATATTTGATTTATTTTTTCATAGAATGATAAAACTAATAATGCTTTACTTTGGAAATCAATTTTGTGATAGGGAGATCTATATTTAAAAAGTTATATTATTTTGAATGACACCGACTTTAAATTTAGCCTACATTCCCCAAAGCAATTTTTGAAAATGCTTTTCTGGCATATTTAGCCTTGCCACCTATAGCATGTTTTTATAACGTGAAAACCCGCCATTTTACTCGTGATAAACATTTTTAAAAGTAATTCTAAGAAGGTCTCTGGAACTAAGTCGAAAAACTCGCCGGAAGTCATGGTCCGATCCTTACGCCATGTTCTGGTTAGCAACCAAGGACGCTTTTAAGTTAGTGAGCCTCCCTAATATATTATATTACTTACTTTACTTATTAAAAAAAACGAGCAGTACAAATAATAGATCTAGATCTAGATCTATATATCTAGACCTAAAATAATTTTAGTGTTACGTCTGTTAAGCGTAACGAACTAAGCAGTAAACAAGACAAGAAGAGAACCACATTGGCACATTAGTAAACACAGTACGTACACTCATCAATAATGTTACTGTTTGGGGATGCTGTAGCATCATAACACCGATGCTAAAAATAGTCCCAATGATGTCTACGGTGTTTCCCTCTATTTAACTCTTTCAAGTCTAATATTGTAACAAATAGCCTATGAGTAATATGTAGATCTTGTAAATATTGCTCTATTAATATATAATAGTTATTAGTCTAGCTAATGTATTGACGTTGTTTTCTATATAAGGTATTTTTTCCATAATTTCATTATAATGTAGGTCATTGCAAGTGAGGTAGGGATAAATAAAATAAAAATTTTATATTTTAAAAAAACTTTATTTCACCTTAAAATTAGAGTTGGGCTTGTCAATAACTAACTTAAAAAGGGGGAGAAGGAGTGAGGAGAAAAGGGGGTTTCGGAAAATTTTACGTTAGGCCTAGATTCTAGATTTCTAGTCTTTTTTTTTTTTTAATTTTATTTAGAAGAGCAATTTCTAAACACAGAAAAGTGTGAGGTGTCTGACTTTTTGTGATGACGTTGGGGAGAGGGTCTGCCTTTTTGTGATGACGGTGGGGAAAGGGGTCTGACTTTTTGTGATGAAGGTGGGGAGAGGGGTCTGACTTTTTGTGATGACGGTGGGGAGAGGGGTCTGACTTTTTGTGATGAAGGTGGGGAGAGGGGTCTGCCTTTTTGTGATGACGGTGGGGAAAGGGGTCTGACTTTTTGTGATGAAGGTGGGGAGAGGGGTCTGACTTTTTGTGATGACGGTGGGGAGAGGGGTCTGACTTTTTGTGATGACGGTGAGGAGAGGGGTCGGCCTTTTTGTGATGACGTTGGGGAGAGGGTCTGCCTTTTTGTGATGAAGGTGGGGAGAGGGGTCTCACTTTTTGTGATGAAGGTGGGTAGAGGGGTCTGACTTTTTGTGATGACGGTGGGGAGAGGGGTCTGACTTTTTGTGATGACGGTGGGGAGAGGGGTCTGACTTTTTGTAATGAAGGTGGGGAGAGGGGTCTGACTTTTTGTGATGAAGGTGGGGAGAGGGGTCTGACTTTTTGTGATGACGGTGGGGAGAGGGGTCTGACTTTTTGTGATGAAGGTGGGGAAAGGGGTCTGACTTTTTGTGATGAAGGTGGGGAGAGGGGTCTGACTTTTTGTGATGACGGTGGGGAGAGGGGTCTGACTTTTTGTGATGACGGTGGGGAGAGGGGTCTGACTTTTTGTGATGAAGGTGGGGAGAGGGGTCTCACTTTTTGTGATGATGGTGGGGAGAGGGTCTGCCTTTTTGTGATGACGGTGGGGAGAGGGTCTGCCTTTTTGTGATGACGGTGGGGAGAGGGTCTGCCTTTTGTGATGAAGGTGGGGAGAGGCGTCTGCCTTTTTGTGGTAAATGGGAAAAAAGCAAGAGATAATTTATGTTCATCCACCTATGCTGAGGTATTCCAGAGATGGTCCAAATTCTTTTTCCTCTATATCCCTTCATACTTCTTTCCTGCTTGACATGTTATTTTTGTTAAGATGTCAACTCATGAGGTATGAGTTGGGCTCCAAATAGGTACTCAGGTTTGTATTGAAGTGTTGTGACTCTCAGGGCAGAATCATAGCCGTGTACCCATCACAAACCAACCCCAAACTCACTTATGATGAAAATGAATGTAAGATTTTAAAAATTTTATGCTAAAAACACAATGCCTAGACACAGGTCAGTAAGGTCCTTTGTGTGTATGACCAGTTATTTAAGTTTAACTTTTAATGAAAATAAAAGTTAAAATAAGAAGCTGAATACTTCACTGAGGGACGAAGATTAGATATCAAATACAAAATAAACTTTAATTATAACGCCAGAGAGGATTGCATAGAAAACTTTAAAAAATCAACACACATACTCTAGAAATATAAGACGCGGGTTAGTCATGATGATTGAAACCCTTAACCACATCCTTTCTGAAAGAGTGATCAAAATGTGGTCTATTTATTTCAGTAGAATTTTAAAATTGTTTTAATAACAGATTTTCATCAGTTTTGAATATTAACAAGAGTAGTGTCAATGTAACACAAGTTCAATTATGTAACATTTGTTACGACGTGACAAATGTCACATTATGCCACAGGAAATTTCTCTTTAAGGAACCAGTTGAAGACAACAAATTCCACACAACAGCTGTCTATTCCATTGACTCACTCAGAACACCATGAAACAACACCATTGTGGACAACTATATTAACATATATTTAGTGTGAGTCAGAGTAACAAGTGAAAATCACATCTTCAGGTTAAAACTATCTGCAATAGTTTCAAAAGCAACACACCTTTGTGCCACTGTTGCATAACATTTTCATAATCTTTTTCATAAATATTTTAAATAAAAAAATTTTAAGGTATCAAATTGTACTGGCCATTATATATCATATTAAAAAAATAAAATATGACAAAAGTTTATCAAATATACTTATTAAGTTAAATAAATAAATTAAATATACCAAAAATCAGTCGTATTTTTAAAAAGCAACATTTTGTTTCGTAAAAACAAATGTATATATAAACTTCAAGTACCCCTAAGTGTATCACAGGAATTATTTTTAAAATGTTAAAATTAATTATATGTGCTAAATGTTAGTATATAAAATTAAATATGTAGATAAACATTCCTTAAATAAGATGACACAATAAACCGAACTTCAGAATTGAAAATAAATCACACAGCATAAATACTACTGATAGAAAAGCTGTATAAAAAAACATATTTACCAATAAAAAATTTAAAAACTCAACAACATAAAATATTTATAATCTCTTGAACAACATTCAAAAACATAATTTGAACAACGTAGTTGGAATTTCTTTTTTACTGTGAAATAAAATTTGTTTAAAAATGCCATTTAAAATTTTGGAATTTTGTAAAAAAAATAATTTTAGCTTGTAGGAGCTTTCTAGAACAATACGTCAACAATAGCTTAAATATTACACAGTGGCAACAACCGGATATTTACCAATAAAGCTATCTAAACATCACAGACTGCTTAAAAGACTAGACATATTTTGATAAAGAATATCTTATTTATTTTAACTTCTGAGACCTGAATTGTTACTATTAATATACCAGGGTTTAAAAACCTTGAACCTAATCATCAAGTGAGCAAATAAAACTCATGAGATTCTGTCTTTTGTACAATATTATGTATTAAGACACCTGTATTAAATAATTTAATGACTGAGGTTACCAAAAGAACTGAGAATTTTGATAGCCAGACAAAGCTACATTGAACCATATCATAAGTTCAAGTCTGTACCTTCCATTGTGTCAAATATTGATAAGTTAACACATTTTTCTTCCAGTCTTAAAATATTAATAGACCAGTTTTATAAATTATTTCTGATAAAAATAACTAAAGTTTTATATCATTTGTAAATAATTGTATAGAAACTACATTAATAAACATTAAAGTTGTTTTTTTCTTAGTGCAGTAACAAAATTTGAATTTAAGCATTATCAGAATTGCCTTTTGATTCAAGGATTCCGCAGTCAATGTTATCCTATACACTACTAGTTAGCCAGCGCATGCAATCAAAACACTGCAAGTATATGTTTTTGCTAGGACCATGAAACTGCAGTAAGACAATGACAAGGAGCTGTGCAAGGGACAACCTATAGCAGCACAACAGAAGTGAGTATTGAGAAACAGACAATGTAAACAAATATCGGGTTCCGGCTCAGATGGAAAAATCACATAATTCTGATGCCGTTCGGTGTTATTATATGAGATGAAGGGTTAAATAAACCAAACCAAAACTTGTGTATTAGTAAACAAAGGCTATGTGATGTGTCAAGCAAACTGCTGTTTACTTAGACAAATGTCTAACATATAAAGGGAATGCTAGAAATAATAGCATAATAATCATTCTATAATCACTGTAGTCAATTTTTTTATTTTGTATTGAAATTTATAATTAACACATGCTTCTACATTACAGTATGATCACCTAAATCATACACACACAATAGATTTTTTTAAAAATGTGTTTCCTTTCTGATTCAACAGATATATTAAAACATTCCATTCCAATTTTTCAAGTTAACTTGCCCAAAACAAAAATAAAATGATTGAAGTGAATGCAGAATGAAATTGAAGATATTACATATAAATAAAGTATAAGTTAACTACACTGTGATATTAAACCTCCTAAAGTGGAAAACACATTATTTACTAAATAAAATGGGATGAGATCTTAAGTCCAAAAGCTTGAAAGAATGGTAGCATATTTCTAAATAAATAATGTTTAATATTTCATGTAGATAGAAAATATATTTCTATTATATCATGTCATAAAACCTCTTAAACAGCCAACATTATTTATTCTAGGATTATGCTGTACATTAAAAAAACTACAACATAAATTGATTTAAGAAGTGCTAAATTATTTAGCAGCAAACTTTAAAACTGGTAATGGTTTACTGGAAATTCTTCCTAAATTTATAGTAAAAGTACAATTTTATATGTAAAATAATTTGATTTTGGACATAGACAAAACATGTTAAAATATTTGATCTTGATATGTGCTCTTGGTTTCATAAATAATAACAGTTTATACATTTGTTTTGAGTTACATTTTCTTTAAACAAGATAAAATAAATATTTTTTTTATTTTAAAAATAATCTAGACCCAATCTGATGTATAATTTAAAACTCCCAAAACTGTAGGACTGGTTGAGGGAAAAACCAAGCCAATCTGGCAGCCTCATGGTTTATATTCGGCTGTACCTGGCAATCTGCTGCTGACAGTTGGGACAGGTGTGAATCACATCTTTGCAGCTGTCCACACAAAAAGGGATCAGACAACAGCCCATGCCACACCTGTACAAGACAAATGTGAGAAACTTACAAGCAAATAATCAACACACTTTTGTAACAGCTGATAATCTACAAAATAAAAAGAACATTTCTGATTTAATTTTGTTTGGTCTAGATTTTTTTTTTACATCATTTACGACTTTTTAATGTAAATCCTCAATCTCCCTTTTCAATTTGCAGCTAAGCTATAGACTAAATCTAATTTATCTGGAAAGAAACAAAATTAAATAGTAATGAAATGCAGGTAAGTTTAGAAAAATCCATCTATTATTTACTGTTAAGCATATTTATCCTGCAATCTGTCAACACATTTTAATTAAAAGAGGCTTCACATTTAGGTTGTGGTCTACATTTTTACGTCATGCTATATATTTTCTAGCCTGAATACCCAGGGTTCATATAACTTCATTCTATATATAAATATCACAGTTTATCACTTGTTCTAAAAGCTAACTCCCCAGAAACAAATTATTTTTTAGTAATACAATCCTGAAAGATACAAATCACATTTAATGTAAATTTAATTAAAAATAAAAATATGCTAAAAATCTTTCACTGGCCACTTTACAGAACCATCACTTACCCAAGCAGCCACATTATACAGCATATGACCCATGTGAAGGTGCCGACCTCATAGTGGGTACCTGTCATAATCTCAGCACGACAGTGGGGGCAGTTGGTGTGCACGGGCATGTCGCGAAACGTCTGGATGACAGTTATGGCAGGCTGGGCCACCACCACCGTCGTGCCATGGGTGTAGTTGGCTGACGTACTGTAGGGTTGGGCGTACATGCCAACAGGTTGGCCTGGTTGGCTGTACCCTAAAAAAAAACAAAATTTGTTTCCCTATCACACTAGTTCATATCATATATTTTAATTTCCTAATTTTTAAATCTCCCATTAAAAAAAAAAAATTGGCACTGAAAATTATTTAGCTGCAAGGACTTAATTAGTAACATTTAAGTTATATATAAAACTGACAGTGAGCCTTCAGATCTTGAAAGCTAGGCGAGATAACAATACTAGGCTGCATGCCTGACATCAACATCACAATGCAAATAAACTAGACTACAGGTTCAAACCTTGACAGATAAACAACACACATCCAAAAATGCTGTGGTAATTTTTACAAAATCTTTGTTGTTAATGGTGATCTATGCTTATGGAACATTTATTTACATATTAGCAAAGTAAATAGTCTTCACAAGAAACAGCAATTATTTAACTGAGTTCTCGTCCATATTCTAAGCTGTGCTAGATATTCATATGGCAGTAACAAATAAAAACAATACATAATGCTAATTCTTACAATTTCAGTGCCGTTATATGCTACACAGGCTTTGTAATTATGTGTGGTAAGCTGGTCTGTTACAACACTTGAGGCAGTAGCATCACAGGGCAGTAAGGGTGGGGGGGGGGGGGGTGTCAAAGGTTGCGCAGTGCACATAGTGACATATCCAAATGTGGGTGCCACTAGCATAAAACTAAATAAAGTACTCTAAGTACCACAGGGCAGGTAAAGCAGAGTTCACCTGATTCAGTGAACACATCATAAAGAGGTATGGTGTGGTCACCTGCCTTTACTTTCCCCAGTGTGAGCTGGGTACTCATCCCAACTGGGTAGACTCAGGGACGTTACCACTAACATGACCTGCCCAATTTTGAATGAGAACATGTCGCATGTTCAGTTGGGTGAACAACTTATTAGTGTCCTATATGTCGTTATGCACAGTATGCAACCAGCCAGACTCTGTGTTGAGACCATCCGTAGTTACAGCTGCTGGTGACACTGTACATGGAGATGTCGCTGAGCTGAGATACACACAGCAATCATGCAGGGTGGGGAGGCCAATCAAAACAAAACACTACAATAAAAATATATTCTTCCTTTAACTCTGTTTAAAAATACATCTACACACACTAATCAGACAAGCAACTATAATAAGTTTTGGAGATTTTCAAATGGTGTTTTTTTTATACAAAAAAAATGGTAAAATAAAAACTAGAAAATTTAAAACAAAAAACCAGTGGGATTAATGCAGTTTAAGTTAGCTATTGGAAAAAATGGTTGTCTAGGAAAAAATATTAGGTCTAAGTATTTTACCCAAATTAATATACTAAAAACTAATTAACAAAATTGTTATATGATTTACTGAATAATAAAGTAGATTATATTCAACAAGAGACAAGTGCAGGGATACACAGTGAATATGCTTGGATACAGCACAACAACCTTTGGGTAAAATGCAGTTTGTTTAGGTATTTCTCTCAAATTAAGTTTTCAAAAAAATCATAAATTAATTTATCTTAAGTTACACTCCAGCCGAGAGATAATGTACAGTACCCAAATAAATTGTTGTTTTATCTTTTAAAGGATTTAGTAGCCTATGTGCTTAGGGCATAATAATATAGTCAGAGTTTATTTACATTTTATTCCAAGATATTAGCAACCTTAAATAATGTTTTTAAAAATACTATAAAAGTTTTTTGTTGTTGTTATTTTTAGTAGATTAATAGTGAAACAAGACAACATCACATAAATAAATCTCTAAATTTAAAAAAACAATGGAAATAGCTAATCATCAACTTTATGAATGTTATCCAAATATTAAGGTAATAGAATTAGAATGAAAATTTTAATAGCTATTAACTAGCAAACAGCCCAACTAACTTAGCAATAATAAAACTCTCTTAAAAATAATTTGAATTTATTATAATTTGAATAAAAAAAATTGTTATCCAAATGTTTTAAAATAGTTCACTTTGTTAGATGGCTAACTACTACCATGACTAGTACCTTGCCAAGCATAATATTGTTGCCCCTGTGCATTCACTGGAGAGTATAAAGAGACAACCAGATCAGTTATAAAATCTCAACAATGGAGGTTGGGTGTTTGAAAAAAAGTAGTACTTATGGCCACCAGTGATTTTCTAAAATATTTACTGTGTTGTCATATTGCAATTTGGTGTTTACTATTTTGTTTTACTGTTTATTTTATTTTTGAGGTTTGAACTTTTGTGCACAAGTTAATAAAAAAAAATATAATAATAATAAAATAAAAACTAAAAATAATGACAAATGAGTTCATCTAGATTTTTTTAAAAAAAAGCTTCATCAATCAATATAAAAATGTATTTGACTTCAAATGGAAAAATGTAGACTTTGTCTGATGCCTACAGTATTTTAATTATGTGGTATTCATTTGTTCAATACGTTATTAATTATAACTGACAATTTTTGCCAAGTTTGTTTTGTGTTTACACAAAAAAATCACATCACTCTTATAGTTGTTACATGACAGATAACATTTGGGTGCTTATATTGCTAGTACCAATGTCATCTAGTGAGGAAAGATACATAGTAAGGTCGAAACAGGAGATTGGGTACACCTCATGTACCAATGATAGTAACATGGATAGAAACATAGTCACTGTAGTAGTGTTGATCTGACTGAGCTGCAACAAAGAGCCCACATCATCATCATCATCTCTTAACGCTTATTGGGGTCATTGGGGCACCACAGTTGACCTTATAATTCTCAGCCATCCTCAGCAGCTCTGATTAGTTCTGAGAAGGGCAGCCCTGTTCAATCCTTGATGTGATCCACCCGGTGACATTTTTGCCTTCCCTTTCTTCTCCTTCCTGGCACAGTGCCTTGCAATATAGTTTTGGATAGGTCGTTTGTTTGTGTGATATGCCCATACCAACTCACATACCATGCCCAAAATTTAAGATGCGAAAAACTTTCGTTTAAAAAAGATATATTTCATTTTCCTGCCCTTTCAAAAAGCTTAAACAATATTTTGGTTTTCAATCCAGGCAGAATCAGACAATGGATACAAGAATAAACTTTTAAAGCATTAACTTATTTGCGGAGGCCTATCAAAACAACCCACTCTTTAAAAATCCTGACAATAAGTCTTGTCATATGGTCAAGGGTAAATCAGATGGGACATTAACACCAGGTCTGTCTTTACTTCAGCCATGGTGTTTTTACTACCAAATATAACATCTAACTAATGCTTATAGCCCCTGTCCTACAGCAGATCTGGCTTAGTGTTTTAGTCCATCCACTAACGAGCTGCCTCAATTCTACGATAAAACACATAACCTTTAAACCTAGCACAAACACATGATCCTATATGACCTGTAGCCCTTGATATCTGAGTCGTTTCTAGTATGCTTCAACTGCGTGATTGATAGCTAGACATAGAGCATTTTTAACATTGTTATAAATTATATTATGTATAGGTTGTGAAACGTCAATGTCAAACTGTCCTGCGGATTATGTACAAATACAAAAACCATTTTTAATGGGGTGGGGTGGGGGGGGGGGGGGTTACTTCTAAAAAAAAGATAAGGGTGGAATGTTAATATGTCATGGCACTTTCGTCATTGTAAAAGTAGTTTTTAAGTATTTATTTTTAACTGAAATTTAGCCGATATAGGGACCTATGTTGTAAATTGTAAATGTAATTGTAGTAGCTGTATAAAAAAATAATTCAGAATTAAATCGTGATAATAGATGTCGTTATATTTTATTTTGCTGTTTCAATGTGTAAGGGGACATAACTCAATATTTTAAAAATAACTTTAAAAGTGAATTGCAATTTGGGTTGACAATTGAGGGGGGATCTTGTTACAATGGTGGGAGTGGTAAAATAAAAAAAAAATATAAGTCAGAAGTATGTGATATCACTTTTTAAAAAAATTGCAGAATGTTTTTTTTTATTGTAACCAATTAAGGAGAAAGGAAAATATAAAACCTATCTAGAACAATGAATGTGTCTCATACTTATGCATGTTAATCCTACTCATACATGTGTCTCATTTCATAAAGAATATTAACTTGATTAAAAGATTTACAAGTTCTTCCATGTGTCATGTGTAAAAGCTAATTTAATTATTTAAAAACTGAGCTGAGGTAATATTGGGGTGGGGGAGATAATTTAGGTTTTAGTGGATTGGTGTAGAGCTGACCATACAATCCCTTCTTTTGCAAAGATCTGAATTTTTTTTTTAAATTCTTGTAGAAATTGGATTAATTTTATAAACTAGCATTTTACCTGGTGGATATGGCTGTGGTGCAGGATATCCTGTGGGAAATACATACATTTACATTATTATTATAATAGTTATTTTACGCCATGAGAGTGGTGTACAAGAATATGTCATAGGGGGAGGGTTAAAAATCTTAATATAAATATATATAGGTATATATATATATATAGGTATATATATATATAGGTATATATATATATATATATATATATATATATATATATATATATATATATATATATATATATATATATAGGTATATGTATATCGTCCCCCTAGTATTATCTTGTTATATCTCCCAAAATATAGTTTTGAGAAAAAAGCATTTGAAGTTTCACGGGGTCTGAGTTATCTATTACAAATATTTTAAACTCATTTATTTTTTGGTAGGAAGCAGATGACTTAGAGTCACGTAGATAAGTGGAGATTGAACAAAGTGCTTTTCTACATCATAGGGTCGAGTTTTTCGAAAAAATCAAAATTTGTAGTTAGAACAAGATAATACTGAGGGGACGATATATATAGGTATATATATATATATAGGTATATATATATAGGTATATATATATATAGGTATATATATATAGGTATATATATATAGGTATATATATATAGGTATATATATATATAGGTATATATATAGGTATATATATATATATATATATATATATATATATATATATATATATATATATATATATATATATATATATACATTATAAAATGATTCTAACATTGTAGAACTTATTTTACTTATATTACTGCATGTAAATGTTCTATAGAATATATTTAAAGAATATATTTTAAAATTCTATCTTGAGTGAACTCACCTTGTTGATAACCTGGAGCTGTTGGGAAACCTACAGCAACAAATAAAAATAAATGTTTAACCAAATAAGTAAATGTGTAAAATAAATCACTTATACCATTGACTTTTAATTAATTCTATTTGTTTTTTTTTTTAAGTCTTTTTGTTTAGTAATAACAAGAAATTATTTAGTGCCCAAAGTGTATATGATATACTTTACCTTGAGATGGTTTATCTGTAGGAGGATAGGGGGCATTGTATGGAACATTTGGTGGGATGAACTGGTTGGGGACACCTCCTGAATTCCCAGGATAAGGTGGGGTGGGCTGGCCAGGGTTACCTCCTGCAGGATAGCCAGGGTAGGGCGGTGGGGGACTTGCTGAAGACATTTCCTGATTCACCAGAGATTTCTACACAGAATAAAATGGAGTGTCTAATCATTGCAGAATATAAATTATAAAAATATCTATAGTGCTGCGATAGGACAACAAGAAAAAAAACTAAGTTATTATTACTTTATTAACTATTATTAGGGGGAGCTTCCTTCTCCTAACAATGGCATTCCTAGGTGGTGAACATGGGAGTAAGTAGATATAAGGGTTAGATCTGAATACCAAACAATCAGTTATGGTCCAAGGTATTGATGGTCATGGAGGGTAAGGTGAGATATCTGGAGGTTAGGATACTCAACTGGAAGTCACAAACTCAAGGAAATTACTGCAAAGAGTGAGCAACTCTAAACCCAAGCAGATTAGGAACAACAACCCATTTTTTCTAGAGACAACTCCTACACCAAACAATAGACTAAGAGTTAACTGGTCACATGCATAACAACATGTTGGAGGAAATCTGCTCAGACTCATATCCCAATCGTGACATAAATGATGCCAACTACAAGCTGAATAATATCAAGAATAATGAGTAATCTTCAGGCTAAGAACAGGCTACAGTAGAATACGGCAACACATTTTTAAAAAAGATAAAAGTTGGTTTTAACTACACAAATCCTTTGAGGTAGGGCTCTTAAAAAAACGTGTGCAACAAAGCTGCATTACACACAAACAGATAAGGTCGAGATTCTAGGATTTGGCCCCAAAAACCCAACACTGAGAAGGATTGTAAGGGTGGCTTGCAGAGTTGGAGACCACAATATTTATAATTCAATATCCGTCATTGTAGAACAATGAAAAGGAAGCTATATTCCTAATATAAAAAAGCCCATGTGTGCACTTCTCTCTCTGTCTGCAAAATATTTTCACTGGATATGAGATCAGTATCTTCAGCCATATATGGAGAACTTGATACAGACTTTTGTTTAAATTAATATGTTAGACGTTTTAAATGTATAACCTAAATTTTATTTAAAGAAGAAAATTAAAGGCATATTCGAATGTAAAAACACACAATTTTAATTTATACAACCAAAAAAGTGTTTGTAGTTGTGACAAGAACGCAACAAACAATGACGTCGCATGCCACATGTTTACACTTCCAATTTTGGAATATAAAAAAATGAACTATTTCATTCAAATTTGATTTAGATCTAGATTCTATAAATTTACGTATCAAGACGTATGCTATGAAATATATATACAATTTTCTCTGTCAAATAAATACAAATTACTTTAAAAAACAACATAATGACCATTGAATAGCCGGGTTTTAATGGAATCATTTAAGTCTCTTAATCAGTGTGTGGATTTAATATGGTGTTCTGTTGACTAATAATGTATAGTGTATAATTTGGTTATGATTTTTCTAATAGGCATTGGTAGCTTATGTTATTTTAAATGTCTGATTTTTAGCTATTTAGTTATTTCTTTTCATTGACAATAATATTGTTCAACATGTGGTAAAGCACACTGCGTTTTGACCAATAACTATTTTATAAAATATTTTTCTCAAACATGTATAACATTAAAAATATATATAGGCCTATAATTCAGATACTGATGGCTAGTAAGATTAAGAAAAGACTCAAAACATCAAAACAGGCTTACTATAATAGTTGTAATTTTAATGTTCAAGTCTAAAGAAGTAAGCTACTAGAAAGTAATTACAGTGGTATTCAAGAATTTCTAGATCTAGTAGTTATAACTAGTAGTTAAGTAGACAATATCAACTTATAATTTATGAAGTAGGTAGAATAGATTGGCTAAGTCACTAAGGAAACAGGCCACACTACTTCATGGGCTGTAGAACCACACAGTAATCGGCAGAGGCTAGTAATGAGCGAAAAAGTTGCCTCATTGTCAAGGCTTTAATAGAAGTATATTGTGATATATTTGTGTCAAATATTATTGATAACTGAATAATAAACCAAAATCAATGGCTAAGTATATCAATATAGGCCAGAAATTAACTTTAACTTTAAACGTCAGTGTTTGCAACCAATATTTGCTATATAAACAGCAGCCATCTGTAAAATAGAGTGGCTTTCCCTGAATCTTCCACCATAAGTTTACCAAAAACATTATAATTAAGCATTACAGTTCCAATCAAATAGCGTGTGATTGTCAGTGTGAGAAAAATCCCTACACGGTCAAGGGTTCACTGTGAGTTCACATTGACTTTAATTATCCCTATCAGCATACGTCATAGCTTGGCAATTGCTATTTGAAATTGTGGTGGCCTCAGTTTTGGGGTCATTGTGAGTTCACATATGTTTATTTATAGTATCATGCGTGTGAGATACTTTTTAACTCTTTAAGCCCGTAATTATTTTCATGTTTTACCGGAGTTTTTTTTTCACTCCTTTTTTTCAGTACCCCTGTGGCTAAATGACCCATATATTTTTACCTGTTGATTTAAACCCCATATGGCATATATTATTGATAAAAATTAATCGTAATTGAATGCCCTACACACTGATATAAATTTTAAGTAATTATTTATTTATTGAAGAAAGATAATTACTTAGTTTTAAAGAAGAAAAAATAAAGAGTTGATTTTTTCTGGCAAAAAATAAATAGTAATAGTAGATCTAGTAGAAACGTTTCATCGCCGCATTATAAAATTAACCAAAATTAAAGTATTTATATTTTATATACTATAACTAAGACTTAGACTAATAATCCGATCGATGAATTTTGTAGAAAAATGGACGTACTTTCGTTTTCTATGTTATAAGAGTTATAAGAGCTCATGAAAACGAATTCTTTTTATTAATTTTCCTGACAGAAGCGTATTTACTGGTCTAATAGTTAATAGTAATACTAACTTCAAGTTTTCAGATCTAGAAATCTAGATGTGATCTAGATTCTAGATCTAGTTCTAGCCTCGGCTGATTTTAGTTTTACACACTGTAACTTTGATATTTAATTTGATTTGATAGTAGTACTAAGTCTAAGTATTATAGAATATAGTAGGCCGGTAATCTATCGTTTTGGGTACGTAAAACCGCCCGCGACTAGTAATGTGAAAGACAGGTGACTCCTTAAATTTTAATAATTATTTCACATTTTGAGGAGGATTTATGTTTTGAAAAATACAAAAATGTTTCCTTGTTTCATTTATGTACCTGTTTTCAAACAATTGAATTAAAACTTTTCAATAATAAATGAAGACTAGCGATGTTTCCAACAGATGCAACCATTCTCATTTACTATAGCAGCCATCTTGATTAAGTTCTTTCTTTGTTAACTTATAGCGCAAGATTCAGGGGAAGGCAACTCTATTTTACAAATGGCTGCTGTTTATATGAAATCCTGCCCGCAAACACTGCTGTTTAAAGTTAATTTCTTGCCTATATTGATATATTTAGCTATTGATTTAGGTTTATTATTCATTTATCTATAATATTTGACACAAATATATCAAAATATACATCTATTAAAGCCTTGACAATGAGGTAACTTTTTCGTACATTAGAAGCCGCTGGCGATTTTACGTACCCAAAACTCAAAACAAACTAACTAACTAAACTACTAAACTAATAAATAAAAGTGGATATTTAGAATCGACCATTTGAATCTAAGGCCTAGAGCCGATCTAGATTATTACTTTTTATTACTTACTAATTATTATAAAATACTAATAGGCCTATTTATTTTAATATTTACTGTACTAGATCTAGATCCAGATCTATTTACTAGACCTCTGGAATTGTTTACAATTATTAACCTAGCGTCATTTCCTGTCCGTAATTGTATGGTTTCCACTTGTATCGTAGCTTTAACTTTAATTATTAAATAATAATTTCTTTTTAAATGTATAACGCGCCAGATCTTTATTCTACTATATAGATATAGATAGATACTAGATCTACAATCTACATTTTTTTTTAAATTTCACAATTAACCATTGCGTAACGCGTGCAGTCTAATCGTCATCGTCATGCTAAACTGATAACAGTATAATAGTGTATACTGTATAGGCCTAACACTTTATTATAGCACACCCTTTTATAGAGTAGAGTTGACACTTTTGTTGCAAAGTGTGACAAAGGAACAGACGGTTTGGGGTGTATTTGAATCAGAAAAGGAAAAAAAAACTCGATAAATATGATCCAAGCGCAGGCATCGTTTAAAAGTTAAATAACTCAAGATCTAGATCTAGAATCTTTGACTAACTCTTCGTTTACCTCATGACTGAGTTGACTGTTATTCCAAACTGAAAAACTTTATCTAGTTTACTTTAAACTAGATGGTCCATGAATGAAAACTACTCCTAAAGGCGTCGATAAATGATACCATGCTTTTTTTGTGGCGGTTTACCCCCCCCCCCCCCCCCCCACTCCTCCCCAATCGTCACATTTTATACTATAGGTCCCAAAAATATTCAATGTAATATAGGCCTAAATGTTACACACATATATATTATATATATATATATATATATATATATATATATATATATATATATGCCTACATATACATATATATAATATGTATATAGTAGATCTATTATATAGATCTAGATCTAGACTAGTTCTAGATCTAGATTTAAGAGTAAGCCTGTCTAGATGTATTGAAAAAAATAATACATAGACTTTTTGTCATGGCGCCGTATTATTTTAGGTGTATCCGGTTTGCATACTGATTTGTATGTTGTTTTTTTTTTAGACAAACAATCTATCTATAGAACGAGTGTAAGCTATAGGATAGGCTAGCTAGATTACTAGAAATCTAGAATCTTGGCCCAGATCTAGATCTACATCATAGTATTCATACTCATTATTCATAGATAGTATTAGATAGACTCACTCCTAGCTAGACTGTCTGTTGAGAAATTTAATTTCCTGGTTGACTGAGGTAAGACTTACAACAAATTGAACAAACTCTTACTCTTAACTTAAACTCTTAACTTAAAATTACACTTGAGTACACTGTCACCAACAGACTAACAGTGAACAGTGCCAGTGAATGACAGTCAACTGACAGTGACTCACAAACAACTATCAGTGACGATCTGTCCGGGATTCAAAGGGTCGATTCTAAATATTAAATACTATATAAATAAAAAAAAAAATAGGATCATTATCATTAGGCCTAATCATTATATATATATATATATTATATATTATCATCCATCTGCTAAATTTTCCAGACCTAGATCAGGCCTAGAATAGATTCTAGATCTAGATCTAGTAAAACAGTATTAATGTATTATTATTCTCTATATATTAGGGCCTATAATATTATTCTAGATCTAGATAATACTAGATATATAGAATAATATAGATTTAAATTATTTTAAATCTTTTTAGTTAGGCCTAGGCCTATAGGATCTAGATTAGATCTAATTTTTATTAGCCTAGGCCTAATTAGTATTAGGACTATTTTAGCCTATTAAGTCTATTAGTATTACATTAGCGTATTAGTTTAGGCTTAGGCTACTAAAAATCTTATCTCAAAATCTGCATTCTATAGGCCTATCTCTTAATGTAATGAATAGACCTTATTGCCTTATAAAAGTTATAAGAGAAATAAAAAAAGTTCTAGATCTAGATCTCGTCAGATTTTAAATTAATATTTTTACTGAAAGTTATCTGCCTGATTTTGCACTTACCTATTTAAACAAGGTAATTAAAAAGTCTAGTGACAATTTTAGCGCAATTTCCTTATGTTATCTAAAAATAGCTCTGTCGTAGCGTAAATCAAGAGCAGGGTTAGTAAAACCATTGGTTAAAATACATGTTTTATTTACAATAGAGTTACATGACTAAAAACTATTGCACGCCTAGCTACTGAACGTGATGACGCAGCCATTGAACGTGATGGCGCAGCTATTGAATGTGATGGCGCAGCTATTGAACGTGATGACGCGCGTGGTGTGGTTGGATAAAAATGCCTACTAATTCGGTCCAAATTTTAATTAATTCAAAAAAATTTTTGTGACCGAACGAAAGGATATTTTTGAAAACTTTCTTCGCAATATTGTTCTAAATTATGGCAGGAATTGATTGGTACATGTTTCAAGTCGCTAAGTGGTCTGGTTGCCGAGATATGGGCAAAAAACTGCATTTTGTCGAGGTTTTTTGGCTTTTCCGGGAAATCCATGAAAGAAACCCGGAATTTTTTGGGCCTATGTTCATCCTCGTATCTTGCTTAACATAATTGCTTTTGGAACTGGTCCTCGATATTGCTTCGTTGAGGAGGAGATACGACTTAAAGCTGCGGACACACATCCATTCATTCATACATTCATACATCCAGAAATGACGGGTTAATAAACGCAATTCTCCAGAATGGAAATTGCGCTAAAAATCTGTTAGATCTAGCCTACTCACTTCAATAATTAGGCATAGTGATAGTTGCTAGTACTTAATACCAAAGTTAACAAAAAGTTAACCCCCACCAACCAAATAAGATATAAAAAAAACAGGATATAAAACTTTTAATTTTTTACCCCTAACATAACCCTAATCCTAGAGGGGTTGTTTTTATGGTGTGCTTTTAAATATTTAAATGTTTGGACATCAAAAAAAGGTCATGGTTGCTTGCTTGATTTAAATTGGAGCTATAGGGACTTGGAATAAATATAAAAATAATAATATATAGGCTATTTATATTAATAGGCCTAAACAATAAAATAGATCTTGTATTTAAGTAATATCAATAGTAAGTTAGGTTTCATAGTCAGAGTTTCTACTTTAAAAAAGTATGAAGTTTTTTATGGAGGACAACTCATATATGGTAATTAATAAATAATAATATATCTTCTTTTTTATAGATTAAAAATGTCTGAAAATGCACCACCACCCTACCCTGGAAACCCTGAAGACAAAGGTTATTAATTACTACATTAGCCAATAGAGTTCTTCATTAATTGATATATTAATTAAATTTGTATGTAATAAATTTTATCCTTTGAAATGTTTTTTTAGATTTTGTGTTCAAATTTTACTAGCAAAGGTCTACAGTTGACATTATTTTCTTTGTAAAAGTTTGTGTTTTAAACATACTTTTTTGCATCAAGTGTAAAGTTGTTGTTTTATTTTTAATTTGATAGGTAATCAAGGGTATCCACCCCCTGGAGGATATTACCCACCTCCACAGCAGCCTGGGTACCCACCAGGTGGCTACCCTCCCCCTCAAGGAGGCTACCCACCCCCTCAAGCAGGCTACCCGCCACCTGGAGGCTACCAGTCTTCTCAAGCCAACACGTCAACCATAGTGGTAGCTCAGCCTACAGTAACTCTGGTTCAGACATTCAATGCTGTCCCAGTGCGCTGCTCTTGTCCTCACTGCAGGGCTGATATTGTGACGGCCACTCGCTACGAAACTGGGACATTTACATGGATCATCTGTGTCATCCTCTGCGTTGTGGGGTAAACTTTTGTCTTTGTATACATACAGCTTAGTATTTATGTATGTTTGATTTATTAACATATTAGCAGTATAAAGATAGTCAACTGATTTAAAATATTTTTAACAGTGCGATAATCCTAAGTCATAATTTTAAGTAAAGAGAAATAGGAACAAGTTCAACACCTGCTAGTGCCAAGTATCAGCAAACAGATAATAAGATTTCGTCTCCATTTTTTTCAGCTGCTGGTTGGGTTGCTGTCTAATACCTTTTTGTATGGACGGCTGTCAGGATGTCATTCATACCTGTCCTAACTGCCAACAGCAGGTTGCTCGATGGAATCGAATGTAACCTGGGAATAATTTGCTTTCAAGGTATTTCTTAGGAATTGTTCTGTGACGCTTTGTTTGCTTTTAAAATGTATTACTTGATCAGTTTCTCCTATATTAGTTTGTTGATTCCTTGTGTATTTTCAAAGATAATAACTATTTAACTTGTCAAAATTGAGTTAAGCTTTTTGTCATGGACATTATTAGTGTAAAAAGTACCAGCAGCATTCCAAACTCTATTAAAATTTACCCTAAATCAAACCTTAACTCAAATTTTAAGCCAGATGTTGTTATTTAATTTTTGTGTTTTTGTTTCTTAATTTATTACTGTTTTTTAATTTCAGTATACCTTTCTGTTTTTTACTCTTAAGAACATACGATGATGACTGAAATAATGAAATAAATTACATTACAAGATACAGAAGGTACAGAAACTTGCAACATCTTGTCTCAAGTTGAATTACAATTTGTCTAACTGCTTTCATAAATTTTAAAATTCTAAAAAAGTGTCTAGCTTACCAACATTTTATGATTGCAAACGCAGTTAACTTAAAGAATCTGTCAGTTTGTTTTTAAATAATGAGACTATTCAGTTTTAACATATTTTTTAAATGTGATAGTTGATTTTATTTTTTATACTATATTTTTTATTTATTTCTTTATTCAATGGCTGGTTAATAGTCAGAAATTGAGCAATTTAAACAACTATAAAAGCAGGAAAACAGGATTTTAAAAAATCAGCTTTTAAAAAATTGGAAGCTTTTTTTTTTCTTTAAATGAAAAGTGCTGAAATATGATAGTTTTTTTCATTAATGTGATCAAGAAGTTCCAAGTGTTTCTTTTTTTAAGTAGAATCTTCTACCATGTGAGGTTGGCTACTGCCCTCCCTCCCGACATTTTTTTTCCTCATTCTAATGCAGGGGCTTTTTAGTTCAAGCCCCACCTGACTTTAGGCTTGTAAAACTAACTTCATTGTAATATTTTAATTGACTGTTTGAATAATTTCTAGGCTCAACCCCTTGTAAGTTGAATTGTTATTGTCATAAAATTTTAAAACATTGAATTATTTTTAATAGACATTTGTGTCAGCAAGGTCTTCTTTTTTTATATTTTTATTTAAATGTATTGTTTTTAAATGATTAATATTGTAAATTGTTATATTTGTTGCAAAAATTATACTGAATGTGAGTTTTTATGTTCACATTTTAAAATGTATTGTGCTGCTGATAATGCAACCTTTCAGTGGGACCAAACTGTTTTGATAGCTTCTGGTGTAATTTGTAATGAAGCAAAATTTTCTCATCCACATTGTTGAAGATAAAATGTTAATCCCTTTCTTTTAATTGGTTTGGTGCCTCAGCATTTTATGTGAACCTCAAGTGCTTCAAGCCTTTTTTTATGAATAGGTGTTTTTTTTTTAAGATCATATATTTTTAGCCTACTGACATGTAGTTTTAAGATTAATATGAAGTATTTTACACAAGTTTTGATTAAGTCACAACTGCTGTTTGTGTTTTTGGTAATATATTTTGTAATAATGCTGTATTTTTCAATTAGTTCCAAGAAATAATTCATTTGAAGAATGTTAAATTTCATAACATATGGGGAATTAACTCTTAGGAGCAAACAGTTCCTAATAAATCACAACTAGGGTGACTTTTATGAATAAATATAAGTAACAATTAATTTAAGTTTAATCTTTTTCAGAATAATGTGTTTTTCTGATGTTACAATGGTATAATCTGCTAAATAATGCTAAACCTAATAATAAAGTAACTATCAGTTGTGTAAAAAAATAACAAGCTTTAAATATGCTACATCTATAATAAGAAAATAAAACATAATTTTCTTTTGCATAATTAATAATTCATCTCTAAATGTATTGTAAAGGTATTGAGCAACCACTGTTACTGTTGAAATAGTTTGTTTTTTCATGTCAACTAACCTGTTGTCTAAATTTGTTATTAATTTGTTATTTACTACTAACTGCTTGTTATTTACCTATGCTACAACTGTTGATGTATTGTACCTGGTTTTGTAGGGACACATTTTTTACTAATCACAAGTGTACATAGATTAAATTGGAGTGGGGTTCTTTTATATTTGTTAACTTGTATAGTACCCTTAATTTATATAAACAGGTGGAGCTCTTTTTATACAAAGTAACAAAACTACTGAAGTTTTCAAAGCTTAAATTGTTTTAAGAGTAGGTTCTCAGAATCTAATTCCACAAAGGGAGTTTTTATTTCCTAATATAATTTTATCAATATTTACTGCATAAAATTTGAAAATGATGGCAAATTATTTTACAAGTTACTGCTAAATTACTTGAGACATTTTTGCAAGACTAGGTATTTGAATAACAAAATACGTTGAGTAATAATTACTGCTGATGAAATTTAGTTTTTTTATTCTTATATAACATTTACCCCTTTTCTTCAATTAGACTTCTTTGATATATGATAGCATGTTCTTTAAGTCTCCAAACTCTTTGAAGTGTCAAATTTTTTAGAAAATAACAAATATTTTTAAAATGTATTTCCTGTTGGATTATTGTTTTCTCTGAAAACATGGTGATTTAATTGCTTTTTATATTTTGGTTGCGGGTAAACAATTTGTAATTATATTTTACCACCCTTTGAATTTTATTTTTATATACATACATTTACTAATTGGACCAGTGTGGGGGGCTGTTTCTTTCTGATTACATTTTACAAGATCGTTTTATTTGTTTCATTTTTCCAAAATGTGCTTGCTAATGTTATGCTTTTTAAAAAGTAGTATGCTAATATTTGACTGCTCTTAATTTAAACTTCAAAGGCTAGTTTATAAAAGTTTTTTTTATAACCTGATAAGTATACAAATCAGGTAATTAAAGTAGTTTTTCGTGATTTTAATTTTTCTAAATTTTAACATATGCAAGTTATTTATCTTTATTAAGTGATTTCAGCTGAACTTCAGAATTTCTGTAGTAAAAGTTATTTCAGTGTATGTCTTGACATTTGATTACATTCTATATACGCTTAAGCAATAATGTACAATAAAGCTTTTTACCTTTTCTATGGTGTTCTTTGAGTTAAGAAAATGTTGATTTTTTTTTTCAAGTATTGTTGCGGATCCCAACTCATTTAATTCATCATGCTTATTTGTTATCATCATTTTTACTCATTTGACAGATGAAGTAGAGTTCATCTATCTCAGAGACCTCTGCTTATGAAGGGATAGTGTCTTCAGCACTATACCCAGCCGTCTTCACTTTCCCTAACGAAAGTTAGGTACCCATTAGAGCTGGGTGGACTCTCTACAGACTTGAACCCGGATTTAAACTCCTTACCTGTTTAAACAAGCAACAAACTTAGTTTCATGTGCATATCAAAGATATTAATTTAAACATTGGTGCAATTTCTGCAAATGTTTTTTTTAAAAAGTGTCAACCAGTAATGAGGTTTTGATATCAACTTATTAAATGAGGAGGCCCACCTCTGGAGTAAGCCTTTGAGGAAACAAGACCTGTATAGGGTCGAATTTATAGTTTAGTTCTGTATGGGGTGGTGTAGTTGAATGGTAACCCAAAGTACTCAAGTTTGAACCCTGATACAAGCCAGTAGAACATCCCTGAGTCCTCCCAGCCCTGATGGCAGTAGATTAGGCATAGACAAATCATAGTCGTGGTTGGATGGTATAGAAAGCCTATGTTTGCTAGACAAAAAGTGTCTAGTTCAGAACCTTGGCTCAAGTTAGTAGTCAGCACTTACGGGCACCTAACCAAGGAAAAGAAAAAGTAGCTTGACACAGTGCTGACTTTACTATCCCTTCATATGCTGAAGTCACAGAAACAGGTTAACTCTGCTTCACCTATGACATACCGTCCGGTTTTGCAACGGATATTTTTACTTTTTTTGTCATCAGAGAAAGCCCATCAGTTGTCACACTTCTTTGTGGCAGCCGGTCGGTTTTGAATTTTGACACTGGGAGGAGGGGTGGGGGGGGGGGTGTGACTAGGCAAGAATTGCACCACAGATAACAACAGGTAAACGGAATCATTGCCCTGTGGAAAGGGGGGGGGGGGAGGAAATTATCTTGCCAATGACGTCATTCATTCCAGGAAGTAAATGTACAACAAGGGGTACTACTCTAACTGTTTTTAATTGTTAATATTAATTTATACTTTAGGCAAAAGGCTTTTCAGCTGATTTAGATCTACTTGATTTAATAAATAAATAATTTAGCTTTGGCTGGTAATTTTTTTTATTTAATTTTCAATTATATCTAGATCTATGCCTTGCCAAACTTATTTTAATGAATATTTTAAAATCAACTTAGGCCCAACTACAAATAACGATTCACTACCGCATCCATCCGCATTCTCAGTCGTACTCTGCTACTCTCTCACTCTTGAAATTAATGCACTAGCAATAGGCCTAAATACTAAATAGTAAATATTATTAAATAATAAATATTTATAAATAAATAATCATATAATGAAATAAGTCCTAGCCCTCAGATAGTCAGATAGGCCCCTCTACTTCCACTCGAGTCTTTACTTACTTTAGGCCTAATGTCTCTTTATTAAATTATTAAATTAAAAAAAAAAAATTTTTTATTAGATCTTGAGTCTTGAGGCAGGGCCGGGTGGTATGTGTTACTGTTAATTTAATGTTATTAGTTATAGCATGATATTTTGAGATGACCCTTTGTATCCCTAGCAGAACAAGCCCCTGCCCCCAATCAACTGGCATGCTTGTTGCATTGAGTTCAAAAATAAATAATATGAACTCAAAACAATAATATTATAAACAATCTCATTTTAAATTAAACTATTTAGGCCTATATATATATTATTATATATATTAGGCCTATTTATTTATTTTTTAAAATTTATTTATATATGTATGCATATACTAGATATAGGCCTATGTATATTTTTTTCATTATTCAATTAGTTAACAAACATCTAAACCAAACTAAAGAGCTATCTGACAAGTGCACCAGTTTTCCTGACAGGCTCCCGAAGGTAACTGGTTTGATTATTAAATTGTGCAATTTTTTAAACTAATTGTTCATCTCTTTGAGTATTAAAATATGTGTAAATACATTTCTTTTTTTTTGTTTTTACTAGATTAAGAATGTCTGAAAATGCACCTCCACCATACCCTGGAAACCCTGAAGACAAAGGTTGTTTAATTAGCTGATGCATTTTTTTCATAATTATAACATAGATCTATATTACATTTGTGTGTGGATCTAATACTTTTTAAGACTTAAAGTTAAAAAAATATATATAATTTTGTTTTTTACTTTTATTTTGGCATTTTATCCTGATTGAACTTTTCTTAAGGTTTTAATAAAATCTCTGTTTTTAACATGTTTAATCAAAGAGTTCAATTGTTTTTATTATTTCATATTATTGTTTTTTTTGTTGTTTTTTTTAGATAATTCCTAGTTTTTATTTTCAAATTTTGATAGGTAATCAAGGGTATCCACCCCCAGGAGGATACTATCCACCCCCACAGCAGCCTGGGTACTATCCACCTCAGCCAGGCTATCCACCAGGTGCCTATCCACCTCCTCAAGGAGGCTACCCACCCCCTCAGGGAGGCTATCCACCTGCTCAAGGAGGCTACCCACCCCCTCAAGCAGGCTACCCACCACCTGGAGGCTACCAGTCTTCTCAAGCCAACACGTCAACCATAGTGGTAGCCCAGCCTACAGTAACTCTGGTTCAGTCATTCAACGCTGTCCCGGTGCGCTGTTCCTGCCCACACTGCCGGGCTGACATTGTCACGGCCACGCACTTTGAAACTGGGACGTTTTCATGGGTCATCTGTGTGATCCTCTGTGTACTAGGGTAAACTCTCTTTCTTTCACCATACAGCTAGAATTTATGTATTTTTTTCATTTTACTAGCACAGAAACAGTGAAAAACAGTTACACCTTATATCAAATTAAATGAAAAATTTTAGCAGATACTGTTTAAATAATGTAATAATTCGAGGGCTATGTAAAAAAATTTTTTCTCATCTCTATTGTTTAAGGTGTGACCTGGGCTGCTGTTTAATACCTTTTTGTGTTGAGGGCTGTCAGGATGTCATTCATACCTGTCCTAACTGTCGCCAGCACATTGCTAGATGGAATCGAATGTAACCTGGGAACTATTGGCCTTCAAGGTATTTCTCAGGAGTTGACTTGTATTTTCTGTATCATTTTACATGCTTTTGAAATCTATTAGTTTTTTTTTTCAATTTATCTCTCAATAATTTGATTGTGTATTTAAATGTGTATGTATATTCAAAGTATTATACTTAAAATAACTGTCAAAAATATCTATATTTATATTCATATTACTATTGAAACTAACCAGAAATTAAATCATAACTTAGTAAGGTTAAGCCAGAATTAACTTTTTTTTTTTCATAATTTGTTACATGTGTTACTGATGTTTTTCAATAACCAGGTAACATTGTTGTTTTTTAATCTATAAGACCAAATGATGACACAAGGTATACAAATTGAAATCACAAGACACAGAGGAGCTTGCATCAACCTCTTATCAAGATGAATTAGAATTTTTTTTTGTCTAACTGCTGTCTGGCAGCTACTTAGCCTTAATTATTCATTTATAGTCTTAATCATTGCCTTGCCTTTGAGGTTCCCTTTTGTACTTTTAAGATCTGTCCATTTTTTTATGTTTCTTTTTTATACACTGTAATTATCCAAGATCGTTCACACATTTTAAATTAGTCTTCTAAAATCTGATGGTTGATACTGATATTATATGTACTGTATTTTATTTCCCCAAACTCTTTCCTTATTGGAATAGTTCAAAACTTACCATGAATGATAATTAGCTGTGTAATGGAAGGAGGAAAAAAAAATCAGTTGATTGATAATAAATATGAAATGGATTGTTTTTTTTAACAATTAAACAATGTATGAAATATTCTTTTTCCATTGTTAAAAAAAAATCCCTTTTTAATTTTTGTGATGAAAAAGTTTTTTTTCCAATAATTTTTAATGGCTTATAACTTAATGTATGTTATATTTTAATGTCTGGATTATTACTTTTTAGTTTAACCCCTATTGATGTATAAATATCTGGTTTTTAGCTTGGAAATTAGCATTATTTTAATGTTATATTATTTTTATTGTCTGAGTTGGACCTAAAGTTTAAATGTCATAATTTTAATAATTTGTGTGTTTAATTTCTGTTGTTTTAAAATTACTTTTTTTAAACCTCTAGATTTCAAAATCATGTAATTTTTTACTTTAACAATGATGATGCCAGCATAACTTTGCTTTTGAAAATCTACATGTTGCCTTTAAGAGTAAATATTTTACAATCTTTTTATCCTCAGCACAATAATGTCTGATTAATAATGCAAGGTTTTATGCATGACATTTTAAAATGTATTCTCTTTTTAAAATTTCTGTGGCTGCTGATGAATACAAAAAGTAGTTGAAAACAGCTTTAACAGCTTATTTGGTAATTAATATAAGAGGAGCTATTTGGCTCATTCAAATTGTTCAAGATGAAATCTAAGTCTTTACCAGCAAAAAAAATTTTCTGTCTTTGCAATTAATGTGAACTGTTGACAGTCACACCTCAAGCATTTTTCCAACCTGTTCTGTCTGTGTGTGCTTTTCTTAGTACATCCACAGTTTTGGATTAACATTTTGTATTCATAATACAATGCTATCTACCAATTGATTTTTTTTTAAATTCATATTTTCTAAAACCTATGTAGGTCTTTTTTTTTTCAAAAAAAAAAAAAAAATTTGTATTCATGATGACCTTCAGGCTAAGACCTAGAATTTTAAAATATATTTTGAGGAACAGGTAAAAGATAAATTTAAAATATCATACAACCTATAATACATAAATTAATATTTTAGTCAGCTTGTGCATCCTTTAGATAAATATACTGTTTACATGTTTTTAATAATTTGTAACAAACTGCATGTTATTCACCTATGCTATGGCAGTTTATGTATTGTAAACCTTCACTATCTTTGTGTGTATGCATGGACACACTTTATTGTAATCACAACTGTACAGACTTTTCTAGCTGTGGGTTTGTTTTATCCTTTTGTACATACACAGTGAGCTAAAATACTCTCAAATTGTTCACACCCAATTTCACGTGGAGCACAAATAACAAAAATAGAGGCATCCAAATACTGAAAGTTGTTTAGAGGTGGCAGATTAATCTCACCCTGTATAATATTTACAGAGAGCTCAAGTTTTTTGTTTCCAATTTTAATGTAAAAATGACATAAGATTACTTAAAGATTAATGTTGGAGCATGTTATACTTACTCTTAGACTAGATATTATTGGAATAACATCACGTGATTATACAGTTTTTAGTGCTGAAAGATATCAGTATTCAATTAACATAATACCTCTTACAATTTTTATTATATATATATATATATATATATATATATATATATATATATATATATATATATATATATATATATATATATATATATATATATATATATATATATATATATATATATATAATGTAGTTTTTTAGAACTAATCAAACCTTTATGCACTTTTTAAAATTTGCTTATTTATTTGAGTAATGAAACAGAAGTAAATTAAAATTTCAAGTATATGTATGACCCTTGTGTGATAGTTTTTAAAAAGGTGATCTAATTACATTTTTTGTTTGAAAAACATGGTTAAGGCAAGATTTTTTTGCTTTTTAAAATTTTTCTAGAATGTACTTGCTATTTTCCATTATGTAATTTTTAAAACTAGTCGCATGCCATTTTTTTAACATTACAACTTTACAGCTCTTAATGTGTAAGCTTAAAAATCACTTTTTAGTATTGAAACTTTTTTTATCTCAATTACTAACAAGTATACTAATTTGACATTTAATGTAGTTTAAAAAGGTCCTGATTCTAACATTTTTGTATATTCAGTTATTAACAAAGAAAATTCTCAAGTGTACTTACATTGGTATTTTTAAGTAATCTCAGCGAGCTTATGAAGAGAGGAGTTCTTGACCACTTAGTAAAATTAAAAATAGCAAAGACTATACAATGTTTGTTTTTAATTTCATCTAAAAACATTATTATTTAAAACAAACACTTCACAGCTTGTATTCAGATTTTGAGCATACTTAATAAGCAACATTCAATAAAACTTTTTATCTTCTTTGTGTTGTTGTTTTTTAATAATGTGATACATTTTTAGCGCAATTTCCATTCTGGAGAATTGCGTTTATTAACCCGTCATTTCTGGATGTATGAATGTATGAATGAATGGATGGATGGATGTGTGTCCGCAGCTTTAAGTCGTATCTCCTCCTCAACGAAGCAATAGCGATGACTAGTTCCAAAAGCAATTATGTTAAGCAAGTTACGAGGATGAACATAGGCCATAAAAATTACGGGTTTCTTTCATGGATATCCCGGAAAAGCCAAAAAACCTCGAAAAAAAGCAGCTTTTGGCCCATATCTCGACAACCAGACCACTTAGCGACTCGAAACATGTACCAATCGATTCCTGCCATAATTTAGAACAATATTGCCGAAGAAAGTTTTCAAAAATATCCTTTCGTTCGGTCACAAAAACTTTTTTGAATTAATTAAAATTTGGACCGAATTAGTAGGCATTTTATGCAACCACACCACACGCGTCATCACGTTCAATAGCTGCGCCATCACGTTCAATGGCTGCGTGCTCACGTTAAGTAGGCGCGCAATGGTTTTTAGTCATGTAACTCTATTGTAAATAAAACATGTAAAATACTGAATTTTTTTTTATTAAAAAACGTTTTAATAACTAACCAATGGTTTTACTAACCCTGCTCTTGATTTACGCTACGACAGAGCTATTTTTAGATAACAAAAGGAAATTGCGCTTAAATGTCACTAGACTTTTTAATTAACTTGTTTTTTCTTAAATCTGCTTTTATTTAACCCTAAATCATTTTGATAATCAATGACATGATTTAAGATTACTTGCATCCAAATTTTTAAAAATAGCCGATAAATTTGGGTACTGTCAGTTAAAACCCCAGATAACTTAAGGTGATAAATTAATTATTTTTCTGTACTTATCAAAGCAGCATTGATAGACACCTACAGTGAATTTTTTTTATACTAGAGTTTATTTTTTGTAATCCTGTGGTTGATCTTGTTCAATTCGGGCAACTCAATCAATTTATAACACTGAAAATTTAACACTGGCATACAGGTTACAGTTTTAATTCATCTGATTACATTTCACACAGTGAAGAAAATCTTTGGTCATCAAAAGAAACTCTGGCGAATCAAAAAAGTTGACTAGGAACAATTGGTTTAAAACATAAACATTTTAAAATTAATTTTCTGTTTCAAAATAAAAAATGTGTGCTATAAATATACATTTCTAGCCGAGTTTAAGTCTAATTTTAACACTTCAATCAATTAGACAATTTTCTTTTTAAATATTGGTCCCCAAAGGCCAATTATTGTATAAAATGACATCTCAAAGGCAGAAGGTGTAGAAAGAGTGATGTAATCTTGACCCAGCTTAGTATTTTAGAATCAAACGGATGATTTTAAAAAAATACTAATTTTGGAAGGGGAGTAGGCTTAAGTGTGACATCGTTTTTAGTAGGGGGGGATCCCAGAAGACAGATTAAGGACGGCTAATTCTTTAGGTCACTATTAATTGTAATCAAGAACGGTATTGCTGATAGGGGTCATCCATGAATAACCTCACACATTTTGGGGTTCTTTGACCCGTAACAATATGCAGAATGAGAATAGGGTGGATAAAAACATGCTAAAGCCTACTTTTTGAAAACATTTAACTTTCTATGAATAAGAACACAGCTTGAAAATTTTGGCATAGGTAGGGGGGAAAAAAGCATCTAAAATTACATCCCATAGATGACCTTTTATTTCCTCTAACAGCTGTTTTATCAAATCTATTTTTAATGTAAGTAAAGTTCCCTTTTCAAACCTGACGGTCTATGGGGAAAGTGAAGTATAGTTCACTTGTTTCTGTAACCTCGGCATATGAAGAGATAGTGTGGTCAGCACTATGCCCAGCAGCCTTTACTTTCCCTAACGTGAGTTAGGTACCCATCAGAGCTGGATGGACTCAGGGTCGGTCTACTGACTTGAACCCAGATTCGAACTCGATACTTATAATTAGAAGTCCAGCTCTCTACCGCTAGACCACTCCGTCCCATAATTTTTAATGTAGTGGAACAATAAATACATTTTAAACATTAAATAAATAGCATTAGTCGAGATTCTTATAAAGGATGTACATTTATTGTCAATAGATTATACAGAGGAAAATGCAACAATATTTTTAGATATTGTCTGAAAAAAAATCTTTTTTCTGGTCACAGAAATAAAAGTCGGCTTAAACTGATAGCCCGAACCACATGTAGAGGAAACATTTGGAAAATCAAGAATAAATTCAGAAGTTTAAGGACATTGTGAAAACAATTCAATTATTTCAATTTCTTTTTTTTAAAAAAACAATCCAGTCAAACACCATGAATTTCTGAAGAACACAATTCAATGGTAGCCTTAAATTGATAATTTAAATGCAATTTTTAAAAATCCAATCCAATACATTTCTTTAGAATATTCTTGTCATCTTTCAGTATAAATATCTTCAAACATCTCTATTTTCCATTCACAAATATCCTAACACATCAGTACTTTCGTGGCAAAAATATCTTAAGACATCACTACATTCCATCTTATATTAACATCTCACACTTTGGCAGTTCTAATCATTTCCTCAATGTCTGTAAATTTTTCTCTCAGTTTGCCTTTTTTTGTCCCTGCATCCACTTCTGCCTGATCAATTTTTTCCCATTCAGAAAATGTCACAGCTGTGGGAGGAAATTGTAAAATTTAATGCAATAATTTAAAAAAAAAAAGAAATAAAATAAGTTTTTAATTATGCCAACATTCAACTGGTAATAGTAATTGTGAAAATATCTTATTTTTTTTCATTTTTTTTCTAAGCAAGTTCTAAAATTATTACTGTAAAAATAAAAAGGAACACTTTCAAATTAAGCTGGAATAGTTTCTTTAAAATATAACTGCCCACCGTGTCAGCTATAAATAAATAAATAGGAAACCAAAAATCCTCAGTTTAAAAAAAAAATGTTAGTCTTTATCATACTTAGTAATAATCTCTGAAGTAAAGAAACAAAAGTACCTTTACTTTTTATATTCCCAATCAAATTATCTCTGTTTGAAGTCTCTTTACTCTCCAGCGATCCACTGTTGATGTCTTGCAAGATAACTTTTCCTGTCTCAAAACCATCAGTCATAGTTCCCAATATCACACCCACTGGACCATTGCCAACCCAACCAGCACAATACAGACCTGAATCAGAGAGTCTCAGACAGTTAGAGCCAGCACATTTTATACTGACCACAGCCTTATCCTGTGGCACTGCAGGGTCTAATGGTACAGCATATGATTGCTAATGCATAAATTATTGAGTTTGGATCCTGAGATATGATGGGGTATATGAAAGTAAAGATGGCTGGGCATTACATCATACAACTATATGCTTAGCATAAAAAAATAATGCAATTACTAGAATGTAGGTTCTATGCCTTCCCAACATAACTAAGAATTTATCAGTACTATTTTATTTTTCTTTCAATATATAAATGTGTGTGACCACTGTATTTAGTTCCATTTTTAAGTGTATAAACCATACACAGTGATTCAACTTCAAATAGTAAAAAAAATATCAGATGCCAAAAAAAAAAATATTGAGAAACAAACAACTTTGTGTGTGTTGTGATAATTTAACTTTTTTTTTTTCAAACTAGTAACAGAAAATAATCACAAAAATCGTATACCTTTTTCATTACGGACTCTAGAATTTTCATGATCAACAACCCCTTTGGCTGTATTAAAAGGCACAGAACCATCAATGGACAAACTGCGGTAACCTATACTTCTAAGCACCTGTAACAGCAATATAAGGATATCATAACAGTTACAGTAACATTAGGAATATCATAACTGTATCAAAACATTGATATTATGAATATCACAACAGAATTTTTATAAATGTCTACGCCTAATCTTAAAACTTGTAAAGCTGACTACTAGACTAAGTTATAATAGTTACTATAATACAGATTTTGTTTTGAAATACTTTCAATCCAAGGTTACATGTCATTAATTCAAAATAAAAACAGTGCTTATGATAGGAAATAATATGAAAATATACCAATCCACATTCTATAGTCTCTTTCAAGTCTGTGGCCACAACCTTTTGTTTTTCTGGAATATCACCCTGCAAAAACAAGCCAGAAGTCAGTGAAATTTAATCAATGTAAACAACCTTTTAGAGATATTTACTATTTAAAAATAGCAATTGATTATACTGACCTAAAATTTAAAGATTTAAAAAAAAAATTTAATATGTTTTTGGGTTGTTTTTTTACATGGTACTTTTATTTTAAAATTTTTATCTATAATATTAAAACCAATTTACCTCCAACTTGTTGACGACAAACTCCACACCTGCCAGTTTGCCACTAGAACTGGATTTGATGCTCACTGGACTTCTTTTAAACACCAGCCTCCATTCTCTACTTGCATCTGCCCAATGTTTCAAATTGTCAGCACTTGGAGAAAGAGCACTTTTAACCATAAGCTCTGTAAGGCGACGCCGAGGTCTTGGCAGTTCTGAACAATTTTATTTTTATATTTAAGAGAACATAATTAGAATATACAATTTTTTTTTAAAAATGTCAATTTAAAAAAAAAAGCAACAAATTCTTAAATAGGAATTAATTAAAAAAGACTACATTTTACACATTGGATATGTAAACCAGACTTTGGATCTAGGTGATACCATCCCCTTGGGGACGGCATGGCCTAGTGGTAGAGAGTTAGACTGCTAACCCGACAGTTTTGAATTCAAATCCAGGTTCAAATCAGTGCAACATCCCTGAGTCCACCAAGCTCTGATGGGTACCTAACTTACATTATGGAAACAAAGGATGCTGGGCAGAGGGCTGATCACTCTATCCCTTCATAAGCCGAGGTCAATGAATCAGATGAACTCTACTTCATCTGTCCCATGTTTCTTGGGCACGAACGCGATTAAGAAGTAGAAGAATACCATTCCCCCCCCCCCCCGGTAAGGTACTAGACCCTCCAATGACCTGTCATTGGACCTCCGTTGTATTATTTTCATGACACCAAGGGACCAGGTATATGCAGAAGAACTTATGTCTAAAGAGCTCACTGCCCTGGGTCAACTAAATCTCATTTATATGATGAATATAAAAATAAAAACTCAGCCTAGTGGCCTTTATGACTGTTTGCAATTAACTTATGACTTCCCTATAAAACATTTAGCTAAAATACCTTCAATAATTTTGTCACAACCGACCAGATCATCAGGCTGTAGAATGGTTCTAGTGTCAGGTAAGTTCACCATCTCTCTTAACTCCTTTATGGTGAAAGCTACCTGCAGAGGCCCCCTCCTGCCGACAACATACACCTTTTTGATCCGGCTCTTTGTGAGGGCCTCTAGGGCGTGCTCTGTGATATCTGTTTTCTAGAATATATTTTAATTAAAATAAGCTATGGGGCTAAGGGGACTACTTTACAATCTATTGTCCTTTCCACTGCCAAGGCAACATAGGGCTAAGACTACACCTTGCTAGCTGATTTAATTTGAAGGCATGTGTATTTAAGACCTTGCCTGTACAGTCTCTAAGATCTAGATCAGCTGAGAAGAAAACTTGTTTCTACTTTTACAAAATTAACATTTTAATTATAGAAGATTTTAAATATAAAATATATAGAATTTGGCACTTTAAAAATTCTTGGTATTCAGATACTAGATGATGTAAGCACAACATTTTATGGAGAAAGTAAGTGACTATGAAAAAATATAACTGGTATTTTAAAAAAATGGTGAAACAAACCTCTAATATCCCAACAGGAGTCAAGAGAACTCTGGCTACATCCAGTGCCACATTGCCATGTCCAATAACAACAGCAGCTTCACAGTCTAAATCCACTTGAAGCTAGAGGTAATTAAAATTTACTTACATAAGTTTAACCAAAAGAAGCATTGAAACGTTAAGGGTGTCTGACAGAATTCCAAATAAACATGCATTTTTATTTTTTTATTAAGTGAAACCTATTCTTGGAAGAAACTTTATTATAATTAAAGGTTTTAGAATATCAATGCTAACATGTTTGTCTTGAGGGAGTCCATTATACCAACCAACAAATGACCTTGCAGATAAAACATTTGGCAAATCTTCTCCAGGAATTCCTAAGAGTCTATCATCTGCAGCACCATAGCACTGTAGCAAAACAGATGGGCAAAAGCTGGATTTTGTTTTTTAATACGCAAAACAAAACATTTTTTGTAAACTAATTTTCATATTTAAGTGACAAGCTGTGTTTTAAAATAAAGATTTTAGAATAATGCTTTTTAAATAAGTGCAATTAAGGCAAGTGTTAACAAAACATACCAACACAACCGCTGAGTAGATTTTTCTTAAATCTTGAAGAGTGACATCTTTTCCAACTTCCACATTTCCCAGAAAACTACATCGATCATTGTTGGCAGTTTGAGTAAATGTGTGGATAACATTCTGTGAGACAGAAACCAAGAGAATTCATCTTAAAAGTTTCAAACAAGATCACTTAATAAAGCATAAATTCATCATGTTGTAAGCTAATCAAAATATGTATTTTTAATATTTTGTATTACTATTAGTGAAAAGAGGTTATTTCTTTAAATATTATTTTTTACTGACCCTATACTTAATGCAAACCAAATTGTTTATAGATTACAAATTATGATTTGCTACACCAAATATTTATACAATGGAGGCTAACCCAACTCTAAACTTGACTACTTATCAGCAATACAAACTACATATAAATATATGGGTTTTGCTAATGATAAAATTCAAACACATCAAAAATATATTATGGCCTATGTGCATAGTTTTTCCCCTCTAAATTTGTAGCTGATTTCATCTTCATGATGCTTTGTACAAGATTTGTATAGAATAGTATCAGAAGAGGATATTATATTAAAGATAATTATAAAGTATTGGTTGAAAAATATTGTTTATGATAACATTTACTACAACTGTGTGATCAGTGACAAACTAGGCTCTATATTTTTAGTTCTAGATCTTGAACAATAACACCTATTTTTGATAAAACAAAGTTGAAAATTTTTATTTTTCCATTTATCTTTCAAGTAGCTTTAAACTTTTAAAGCTATTCAAATTAAAGCTTGAAAAAAATAGAAAATTTGTAATCCCTAAAATAAATTTGTTAAACCAAAAAAGTATTTAAGACTAAAATTTTCCCCATAATCATGGAATATAAAACCTACATTAATAGTTAAATTATTACCTTAACTTCTGGAATATAAAACCTACATCAATAGTTAAATTATTACCTTAAATTCTGGAATATAAAACCTACATCAATAGTTAAATTATTACCTTAACTTCTGGAATATAAAACCTACATTAATAGTTAAATTATTACCTTAACTTCTGGAATATAAAACCTACATCAATAGTTAAATTATTACCTTAACTTCTGGAATATAAAACCTACATTAATAGTTAAATTATTACCTTAACTTCTGGAATATAAAACCTACATCAATAGTTAAATTATTACCTTAACTACTGGAATATAAAACCTACATTAATAGTTAAATTATTACCTTAACTTCTGGAATATAAAACCTACATTAATAGTTAAATTATTACCTTAACTTCTGGAATATAAAACCTACATTAATAGTTAAATTATTACCTTAACTTCTGGAATATAAAACCTACATTAATAGTTAAATTATTACCTTAACTTATGGAATATAAAACCTACATCAATAGTTAAATTATTACCTTAACTTCTGGAATATAAAACCTACATTAATAGTTAAATTATTACCTTAACTTCTGGAATATAAAACCTACATTAATAGTTAAATTATTACCTTAACTTCTGGAATATAAAACCTACATTAATAGTTAAATTATTACCTTAACTTCTGGAATATAAAACCTACATTAATAGTTAAATTATTACCTTGACTTCTGGGTGATCTGGAGCCACTCCAAACCTTACAAGCCCAAAAGGAACTGGAAGTTTTTCATAAATGTCAACAAGTACATTGGGATTTCCCTATTCATAAAGAGAAATAAAGATAATTATATACATAGATCTATATAGAACAATCAATGAATCAGTCCATGAAGAATACATCAGAAATATTAACAAGATGTTGGTACTTTTCTGTTTAACTTATCATACAAAAACTATGAAATTGTTGGGTATTTGAAATATAACAGTACCTAACTACTCCAATCTAAACCTAACACCAGCCATCACCAATGCTGTAACCATAACCAAATCACTTTTAATACTCTTAGCTATCCCATACACTACCTTCAGCAGCTGTTGAGCCGTGTAGAAGCCTGCAGGTCCACTGCCCACTATAGCAACCAATGGCTTCTTGTTATTTTCAACCCCTGAATCAGTACTCAGACATCTGTAGTTGAGTAATGCTTTAAATTTCTCAAACTTCATGTTTGTCTTTATGGCTTTGGTTAGACACCATGATGCCCCCTTCACAAATTGCATGATGAATGGTGACTATTTTTCAGTTTCAAATTGTCACTAGTGGTTGATGAGTAGAAAATAAAATATAAACAAATTAGAAGAAATAAGTATGCTTTGTTTAACTTCAAATTGGTACTACCAGCGAAAAAAGAAAAGCATCAGGCAAAGGACTCCAACAATGAAGTGGTAGACTAATACCTACAAGTAAAATAACTATAACTGATCTCAAGTAGGTGTTGTGTAGCTTAAGTATAAATGTCATAGGGTCAAGTAGACACAGGTACCCTACAGCCTGTGGGGCAAGTTGACACACTGAAGTTCACAAGTCACAGTGCAACTTTTTTTGTGACAATATCTTATTTAATGTTTTTATCTTTATTACATGAGAGGTCATAACTGAATAAATAGTATTTAAAGCTACAGATGTTCATAAACTGCAGATTTAATTTTTTTTCAGAGATCATGAGAAATTTAAAAAATTATATTCAAAATGTATTTGACTATAATTAGTTCATAACCCAATCGAATAACGCTTTATTTTCTGTTTAAACTATGATGTCTTAAATTTTGATATCAACCACTGTGGTCTGCACCCCCACCATGTGACATTACTGATTGTACAACAATCCCCAGCAATTTTTGCAAGGAAAAATAAATTTGGCTGTTGATGTCATTATAAATATAAATCAAATAATGGTTCTTGCGGGCCACTTGTGTAGCATAATGACACAATCACACCTCTCCATTGTGCTCAGTTTTGGGCCATTCTCTGAGTTGGATACATGACATTCTGATTGCTTGTGCTTCATAGCCAGATAAAAACTGATCTTTTCAAAGTTTGATTTGGTCAACCTAATTTCCTATTTCTTTGTCTGTCTGATTCTGACCTACCTTCACTTAATAAAATCTAATTAATTATTAACATTTTAATTTGTTAGACTAGGATAGCAGAATCACTAGATTTAGTTAGTTATTTACTAAAGTAACTAAAGTAACAGTACAGTTTGAGTAGACTAAAAAAAATGGAGTAAATTTTAGTTGTAGGCAACAATAGTAATACCTGTAATACTATAGTACAAGCCGACCCGCAGCCTATCATACGCTGCTATTTAGTTGTTTTATTTTCTACTTTTCAGTAATTCATAATTTGTGAATTCGACAGTACCAATGCTGCCACTGAAAATATTTGCTTTAAAACACTATCAGATGGTCGTTAAGGACGATACCCCCCTCTTCTCCCCCAACCCCTTCCTAGAGAGGAAGAGAGGGGACTGCAAGGCACGCTTACAGCTTGGTGTTTTCTAATGTCTCCAAGAAAATAATTATATATATAGATAGATAGTAGTAAGCCTGCATTACTAGAATTTCTAGACTGCTAATCTGAAGGTCTAAAGTAAAGTTCAAATCAGAGTACAATCAGTCGAACATCCCTGATTCCACCCAGCTCTAATGAATGGGTACCTAACTCCAATTAGTAATTAGTACTAATTATGGCATAATTTTTTAATTTGGCAAAAAGTAAAGGCAGCTGGTCAAAGTGCTGACCACAAAATCCTTTCAGATGCTGAGGTCACAGAAACAGGTGAACTACTTCACTTGCGGGCCAGTGGTTTCATATATATTCAAATTAGATTCTATTTAGATCTAAATCTAGAATCTAGATCTAATATTTTAATAATCATTACTTTGTAAAGTATGTATTATAGTATTATCAATATGTAAGTTCACTCAAGTTCCCTCATTCAGTGACTGTCACTTGCTTGGATTCATGGATTGTGACAGGTTACTTTAAGTTTAAAGTTTAAATTAATAAATTACCAAACAGAAGATAAATTTATTTGAAAGAAGTAGATTTTAGGGTAAAATCACGATATAGCGTCGGAAATTATTGGGTAATGTTCGTTGAGTTTCGGTAACATTCGTTACTGTAAACCATAGTTTATTTGACCGGTGAAATAAAAATAAAGTCAAGTGCATTAAATTAATGTTTTAACTTAATTTACAGTTTAATTGACAGAAAATTAATAACAGATAGAAAATCTAAATATTATTAATAAACTCGAGTGTAGTAATTAATTATTTTTTTTTAAGAAACATAAAAAACCTGCAGAAGATTTGCGACAACCAGCTCTTGTTCTGTTAGTAAATAAGACGATTAGATTAACTAAAGTTAAAAGTAGTAAGAATAACTAGAATAATGTTTAGTAGCAGCAATAATTAGCACAAACACTTAAAATAATTAGAAATACAAAATAATTAGCAAAACAGTATTTAAAATGCAACTAAAATCAATCCTTGCACAGTTTTAAACATTATGTATTAAAAATAATATGGCGGCAAATAAATGATGGTTTACAGTATTTCCGGTGGTTTCCGGAACGGCTCGACAGACTACGCCATGGTTTTACTGTTTTTTACTGCTGTACAGTTCCGGAATAATAACCGACGCTATATCGTGATTTTACCGATTTTAGGTTAGATCTAGATGAATTGACGAAATAATCACGCCTCTGCCCTCTGGCATTAGATCTGCTACTAGATCTAGATCTAGTACTATAGTCTAGGAATCATTTCGTAGAGAATGCTTCACTGACACTAGGGCCTAACAAGTACCTAGAGATAGACTTTATAGTTTATGGGCTAAGCCAAAAACAAAAAGCATTGAGGGGTCAAAGGTCAACCCACTGTCCCGCGATCTTGTTTTTGCGTGTAGCCTACAAATAGGCTGAGTAGGGAAGTCTATCTCGCTAGCTACTGCTAAGCCTGCGTATATCTTCACATGTAACCAAGATATATTCGACTACTACTACTTGCATTGCGTGTCAATGATATAGATCTAGATCTAAATCTATACTAAAAGTAATGAGTAATAGATAATTTATATCTAGTTTCTATTAACATTTTCAGCAATTAAAATAAAAATATTTATTGCATCTACTATGGTCTGAAGATTATTTTTATGTTTATGTTTACTTCCTTGTTCAGATAAAATATCACTCCGCCAAAAGCGGAAGTAGTTTACATCGCCATTGCTGAAAAAAATCAACTTAAGGTAGCACATCAATCGACTTCCTAAGCTGAATTCACAACTTTAATTAAGGGTGAGCCAAGTTTTAATTCAAGTTCTAATTAGTTTAATAATTTTTATGTTTTAAAATTAAAGATAAATCTATATATTGGCTACATTACGCAATCATTTCACTAATACTAATCTTTGGGCCCGGTAGTCAGAAAGTGGAAAGATTACTGCAGTTTTTTGGTGGCTGACTAATGCAACAGTAACTCACAGTAAGTTGACTAATCAGTGAGGCCTAGAATATAGATCTAGATCTAGATAGATCTCTAGATCTACTTAGATATACTAAGTCTCTAGAACTCTTGAGTCTAGCAGTACTTTTAATAGGGCTATAGGGCCTATTTAATTATTTATTTAGGATCTTGATCTAGAATTCTAGATCTAAATTTTTTTTTAAATTGAGTCATTGATTTGATTGAAAGAAACTTTAAGAAATGGTAGGCTATTCCTTGAAAATTAATACTTATAGCCTAACTAGAGTCTAGATTTACTAAACTATTGTTGGTAGATCTAATCAATCTAATCTATCGTTTTAGGTACGTAAAATCGCCCGCGACTTGTAATGTGAAAAACAGGTGACTCCTTAAATTTTAATAATTATTTCACATTTCGAGGAGGATTTATGTTTTTTAAAATACAAAAATGGTTCCTTGTTTCATTTATCTACCTGTCAATTGAATTAAAACTTTTCAGTAATAAATGAAGACTAGCGATGTTTCCAACAGATGCAACCATGCTCATTTACTCATTTACTAAAGCAGCCATCTTGTTTAAGTTTTTTTTTATAAAGTTATAGCGTGAGATTCATGGGGAAGCCACTCTATTTTACAAATGGCTGCTGTTTATATAGCAAATCTTGCTCTCAGACACTGCTGTTTAAAGTTAATTTCTGGCCTACATTGATATATTTAGCCATTGATTTAGGTTTATTATTCATTTATCTATAATATTTGACACAAACATATAACAAGATACTTCTATTAAAGCCTTGACAATGAGGTAACGTTTTCGTACATTAATAGCCGCGGGCGATTTTTACCTACCCAAAACGATAGATTACCCTATAGTTAGGCGTAGGCCTAATGATTCTGTTTGGATAAGGCAACATACATGAGGCTACTTATTTCTGAGTTCTGAACTCGTAGGCTAATAAAAGTAATATTTTTTAGGCCTAGACCCTATATATATTTATATTAATATTAGGCCCTAACTAAAACTAGTAAGACAAGGTGTACACAAGTGGCCCAATGGTAAGAATGGGAGCTTCATATCTGATCTAAAATTTATGTTTCTTAGATGTCCTTAAGATTTTATCCTAGACCCATTAGGCCTATGTAGTATGTATTAAACATCAGGTTTAGTATTAGTAGTATTAGGTTTGGGATAAATCTAGAATCTAGCCACTAGCTGTTTAGGCCTGATTAGTAACTAATTAGATTAAACATAATTTAAATTAAGTAGGCCCTATATGGTACAGGACTAATGTGTTTGTATTGATTAATAATATTTAGCCTGTGGTTTACTACCATTAACCTAACATCCCTTTTTAAAAGATACCATTTATAATGCTGTGATTGTGTCATTCAAGCCTTATTGAACTTCCATCTTTACATGGTACATAATTTTTTTTTTAAAATAGGTACTTTCTATTGAAGGTAAACGTAGGGTTAAGTGGATGACTGGATTAAGAGTTTGGAACATGTTAAACACCGGCAATTATTAATCCATTCCAAAAAGTGTCTTACTTGCTCATCACTCATTATTATCAATACAATTCCTTCCTGAGGATAATACTTTACTAACAGCAACTGAACTCATTTCTTTCCTCAATAAATTTTCAAGTACATTTATTACAGGTCTTTATTTATGCCATACTGACTAATGAATTGAGATCTTTCTCATCTTTGCAGTTTAATCAAAATAAAGAATAAATAAACTAAAGCAATAACACTTATCTTAACTAATTTAAATATGTAACCATTAATACTTTCTTAACATTAACTTACTAGTCTTTAATTAAATATCAACATAATATTTGTAATTATTAAGATGGCAGAGCTAGAGAAAACAGAGCCAGAGGTGGATCATGATGAGGAAGACAATCCTAACTACAAGCCCCCTGCACCCAAAGCCTTAGATGAAATTGTCCAGGCAGATGCTGAAGATGAAAGTCTTAGGAAGTATAAAGAAACTTTGATTGGGGCAGGCCTCCAAGGACAGAGAATAGTTGGTAAGTTTAATTTCTTTATCTGTGTATTTTCTTTGTTCTTTGATCACAGTTATATTTACTATGCAGATAATATTTTGTTCTTATTTTATACTTATTAAATTTTTTTTATTTTTTCTAAGATGAAAGTAACCCAAACAAGGTTATTATACAGAAACTGTCTCTGCTAGCTGAAGGCAGGGATGAGATATCTATTGATCTCACATGTAAGTTAATATTAAATTATTTGCCTTCTTTTGTTAAGTTGGTATTATTTTTTGTACCATTCTTCAGAAGTTAATTTGTTTTTTTGTTTTTTTTACAGTGCCTAAAGAGGAAATTAAAAAGCAATGTTTCACTTTGAAAGAGGGCTGCAAATATCAGATTAAAATTTACTTCTTTGTGCAAAGAGATATTGTTTCTGGACTAAGATATGAGCATAAGGTGTACAGAAAAGGGATTCAAGGTAATAAGACAAATGTTTAAATAAGATTAGGTTTGTTGTATTTAGTACTGTTTGATAATTTTATTTCGATATAATTTCTATAGTGTACAAGATGATAAAATAATGTCTCATAGTGCTATTTCCATACAATTTCCATAGTGGACAAGATGAAGCAGATGATGGGGAGCTATGGACCAAAACCAGATCTTCAGTCTTTTACTACACAGCAAGAAGATGCCCCTTCTGGTCTTTTAATGAGAGGAGAGTACAAGATAAAATCTGTGTTTGTTGATGATGACCAAAATAAATATGAAGCTTGGGAATGGCACCTTGATGTTAAGAAAGACTGGTGATAAGCATGCCAGATGCTAGATATATTAGGTTCATTAATAATAATAATATGTTCTCTGTATGAAATATTGAGCTTCCAGACCATAGGGAATATTTTAAAGTTTTAAGAACTCATTATGTAATAGTTAAAATTTCAAAACTGTATTCAGAAATGATAAGTCTGAGTAGTCACATTATTTATAACTTACATAATCTTAATTCAGCTGATTGTAGTCATGACAGCAATGGGTTCCTCTGTATTTATGTCATACGTTATTGTAAATTTGATGCCAAGATAAGTCGTTTTTAATGTTACCACCTGCTGTGAATGAGTTTTCTAGTACGGTATACATAACTGTGGTTAGCTTTTGTATTTTGTTCTATTCTTCAAGCCCAAATCTAGATATTAAACTTGCCAGTATCTTGTTTTACTTAACCATCATTTAATTTAATCACTGATAGGTATTCAAACTATTTGTCTGAACCTCGTAATATAGGCTTGAGGTTGTGTGTAGTTGGACCATATCACACTGTCCAACACTCCACTCTGGCAGTAATGTTTTTCTAAGCTTTCTGTAACAACTTTAATGAAGCTCTCTGATATACTTTGCATTCCAGTACCTTTACACTTAAAACTTCATTATCCTGCTTTGGAAAGAATCTTGATACAATAAAAATAAAATTGAAAGCAATATTCATATGAGGTTGTAAATAATTCAGCTTGAATCACAGCATGAATTATATTCTAATAAAAGGCTTAAAGAGTTGAACTGACACCCGCCTAGGCAATAAATATTTCATGTTCATGGAAAGAAAATGGTTTAGATGTTTGTGTAATTATTTCTTGTCACTATTGGCTAAATATTTTCTTAAACAAAATCTTGCATTTATCAAGGGGTTTTGTTTCATTAGAGAATCAGTATTTTTTGTTTCGTTTTAAAACTGTAAAATTTTATACCCATTTCATGTAGTTTAAAGTTTGCTTTTTTTTAGTTACATACAATTAGTTTTTCAAAGCATGTACAATGTGAACAAATTCTTTTAAGATGCTGTTTATATACAGAATATTCTTATTTCCAAAGTTTTGTCCTCTTCTGTATAAATGTATCTACTATTTAATCATCCAATACCTAAGCGTAGCACAGATTGGTTAGTATTTAACTTTTTTCTTCAAAAAATATAGTCTATATATTTGGCTTCAGGCACTTTCTTCTATTTGCTGCTAACCTGTGCCTTTGTTATATGTTTATTTTTCTTTATTGAAAAATAAAACTTGCATAAATGACACTTTATCGCTAAAATTGCAGCACTGTGATGCATCATGTTTATGCTGAATATTTTTTGGAGGATACCAACTTTACTGCTGTGCCTGCATCACATTTCTTTATGTAAAACTACTGTTTCACTGTCACTAAATTTCTTTATCATTAAACTTTTGATTTTTTTTTTAACAAAAACTGTTAGTAGTTAAGAGTTTGAATTCATTAGAAAAGTATTCATTTTTAAATTTAAGTTTTCAAATAGTCTGAATTGGTATTGGTCCTATGCAAGTGAATTTAGTTTTGCTTCAGTCATGTTCAAGTGCATGAATCAGGTTTCTGATCTTTTTAAATGTAATCTTCAACTGTTGAATAAAACTTTTTTATTATCTAATTCTTTTACTGGTGTTTACTCATTTAACTTTATTAGTAGTTGTATATGTATGAATGTAGGTCATTCAGCATATTTATTACATGCCTTAAGTAGTTAGTCATGGACAGTCTACATGGATTCTACCACCTAAAGGTATTTCTGTAATAGGGTAATGAGGTAGTGATAGAGCTGGATTTGATGTCAGCATCTAGATAATACTAATCATTCCATAGGATAAGATCTAAATATAAACTGAACCATACTATTCATATCAACAGATCCAAATGAAGCATGAATAATTTTAAAGTACACATTCTTTAGTGTGTAGTAAGCTTCCAATACTAATTCTTCCTAGGCCAGCTGTTTTCAAACTGCCACTTCACTTTTCTTTCAAAATGATCTACTCTCTGATTGCAAAATACAGCACATTGTTAATTAGCTTACAATTTATATTTTGCTAATGAATTTTATAAATAAATTTTGCCTAAAGTTTGTGTTTAACCTTAAAAATAAATTAACAATAAATTGCTTTAATTAGTAAAATATTCCACTCATCAATTATTTTCCATGTTAATGATAATGTAAATTTATTTTTCAGTCTTGTCCTAAAAATCAATGTACATTAGCTTACAATAAGTGCTCATTCTTATGGCAACCAACAGAACCTTTTTTTTTTTGAGGATGTTTAAAAACTGGCAGCTATGTAGGTTTATTTTTCTTTTTTTACCCAAAAAGAGCAAATTTTATTTCAATCATTGACAGACATAGATGACTTTTAATGTTTGGTATTCTAAATTGCACCAGCTAACTGGCTGTACCATTTGTTGCTAGGAATCTAGTATAGTTTGCCAACGAGATTGTTTATTAGATGTTGCACTTTCTTTAATGCATACTTATTGCTGTATGTGCATTGGACAGGCAACCATCTGGGAGTTGTTTGACAATAGTGTTGTAGTTTCCTTGCCAGGGGGAGCATAAGCCATCATTGGTGTCTCGTGCCAACAGAATACACATTTTGAACTTACTCTAACATTTTGATGCTTCCTATAACTTGCAAATTAAGAAACTGCTGTCCTAGTAAGATTCATGGGCTGTTGCGAATTTACATTTAACTTCAATAATCTAAGACTAAAATAGAAAAAAAAGGACCAAGGCTTGTTTTTGTTTCATGACATAAAATTTTATTCAATTATGTATATAAATAAGAATGATGCATTCTTTACACTAATATCAACCCTGAAAACATCTATGGAAAATCATTTTAAAATAATACCTAGAATCTTCAAAAGATGACATCAGGAAATGTATGATATTTTAAAAGAGAAAAATTTCCACCAAGGACACTGAAACCAGTGACAGAACACAATGACCAAAAAAAAAAGCAGCAGCATCCTTACCTTTAACAAATGTTAACTTTTCTAAAACAAGACAATGTGGTTTAATCACTAACGATCTAAGCATGTGCAAACACTAAACGTTGAGACCACCTACCGCAAGTGGTACTCACCAATGAAGACCCTGTCATGTCTCATTCTCTACCCCTTTCAGGGACTTACACAATAGGCATTCTGTTTCAATATAGGAAAAATCTTCAATAGTTACTAAGATTAGTAATGCATTTTGCAAAAATATGGCTAAACAATAAGTGTCGCCAACTGTGTGGGGGCTGTAGAAAGCCCAACAGCATACTTAAATTGCTGTGACACAAAGAAATTAAGCTAGCTTCCATGTTCCTTTACAAAAATGCACCTCTACATTTGTATCACCACCTAGTGTGGGGGCCTAGAGCTGCCCAACAGTAGGACTACCCACTGTGACACACTTGCCTTGTGTTTAGTGTTGCTACTCAAGGTCTTGTAAATCTAATCTGTACAAAAAACAGTGATAATAAAGTCACCAACCAGATCACTGAGAACCAAGAATAAATATCTGGCATGCCAAGTGACCAACAAATCAACTACTGTGATGGAGACTCAAACTTTATAGTACATGAAACTGCTAGTTTGGCAGGCTGTTGCTTAATCTATTGACTTAACTGGTTTACAGTGATGGTTGGGGGCCTCAGGACCCAACAGCACAAGGTGCTGTGACAACTTGCCTGTAAACTGACAGAAATAGGGACTCGTGAATCCAGATGAAGCTCATTACTAACCTTATATAGCCTTAAAGCACTTGTTTCTTTTAAGACATTAGAAATAGTGTCATATTCCATTTTATTAGTACTTTATTTCATCCAGAGATGAGAAGTAAAAGAATGGAATTACCAAATTATTGAATCATCAGGTGAACTCAGTGAAAAAATCACTAGCTATTGATTAAAAGAAAAAGACAGTATGGAAAATGGAATCCTCATTAGGAAAACAAGATGACCCATGCTAAGATAAGATTCCACTTACTTGACGATGAAGAAATAGTGTAATTCTTTGATATATTTACATTACAAATTTAAATTATCTATCAACAAAACAATTTCAAGTTAAAAAACTGCATCATATTTACAAATGTTTCATAATGACTCATGGCATTGTATACAGTGAAACTTAGTTAATTCTTCATTACAAACCTCTAGCAATTAAGTTTTTAATCCATCAACTTTCCAACAAATAGCCAAAATGGTTTTTACTGTACATTTATAGCTAGTTTACAAATCATAATATACATACTTTTTTTTTAGAAGTCAAGAGCTGCCAGCATCAGTTAAAATAACAATGATACAAGTTTTTAGAGACTAACCTTGTAATACTAAATAACTAATTTTACACAAGTTTCTCACACTGTCCTGACCACTGCCATGTAGATTCAGTGCTTAGTTAAATCTTGCAGAAGTAAATTTAGCTCATATTGTTTCAATTATCTGTAACAAATACTTTAATTAAATTGTCTACTTCCCTGTCCGCCAAAACCCCCCATATTAGGTCTCATACCCATCATATTCATATTCCCCCCCATCGGTCCTCGAGGTCCATTCATCCCCATTCCACCCATATTCATATTTCCTGGACCTCTCATCATATTTCCCATCATAGGCCCACCTTGCATCATGTTTGGTCTTGGACCTCCCATCATACCTGTAGAGAATTAAGCAAGTTTAAATTACACAGAAAATGACAATTTAATGAGCTAATATTTTAGCAAAATTAACAGAGCCCCCTCAATTTACCTGGCATCATATTGGGTCCTCCCATGCCCATACCATTCATGCCCATGTTCCCCATGTTCATAGGGACATTAGGCTGCATTGGGCCATTATTAACACACTGATCTAGCATTGGAGATGACTTTTGATATTTTGGCATATTAGCCCGCAATTCTTCCTGAAATAAAGATCAATATCTTTTACAAATCATCCTTAATTCAAGTAAAAAAAATCATAGTTCAATATATGAATGCTAAAATGTATACTTTATAAAAAGGACTCTGAGAAAAAGAGTCAGATGTTACTTTCACTAAAGAAACTTAAATAAAATGTCAGCAACATACATTACTTGATGCTTTGCCAATTAGATAAATCCATGAAATAATGCAATTCATAAAGATTTTTCTTTTCAGCATTAAATTTAAGCAAATTTTCCCTTATCCTATCCTTAATATTAAAAGGAAACAAGGTTGATGTAACATACCAGATGACAAAGATGCTTAGATCAAAAGTCTTCATCAATTACAAACAAAAGAAAAAGCTAGCAGATAGTATTGGACCAATTGGTATCACAGAAATCATAGACAGAGTTAAAACATGGCCAGCAATATTGATACAGGTGAAATTTTAAATGGTTATTTTTTTTTTTTAACTGAGATAAATTTAGTGCTGATCACAATGCAGAATTGGGTAACAATTCTTTTCAGGAATAAATGATTCATTTAATGTACCATACTCACTAACCTTTTCCATATTCATGAAAAAGCTGTGTGACACCAAAGTTTACACAAAAGCTGACTCACCAGTGATATATCCTCATCAGGGTGGACTAATTTAGAGGTCAAACCTGATGTTGATTCCGGCTTCTTAATTGTGGGTGCACCGGTAATTGTTGCTGAGCTATTTGAGCTGGATACAACAGAGGCAGCTGCAGGGAATGTTGGTCTACCAGTACCCATTGAAGAGCCTGATCCAGATGCTGATGACTAAAACAATGAAAATAGTATTAGTGATTTGTAAATAAACCTTAATATTAACAAGTTGATCAATAAAACAGTAAAAATTGTACCTGAGCAGCAGCAGGGAAAAGAGGCCTATTTGGTGCAGTCATTGGAGGTCTTTGCATGTTCATGCCATTCATCTGATTCATGTTATTCATGGGGCCAGGTCCCATGTTGTTCATGCCAGGTCGCATATTCATTGGCCCACCCATTCTGGAGAAATAAAAACAGTGTCATGAAAATGTAAATAACATCTGCAGATCTATCCAATTTTTTTTACCTTAACTCAATATTATTATTTTTTTTAACCCTAAAATAAGCCAATAGAAATTATAATGGTCTCAAAACAAATATATGTATCTGTGGTGTTCTTTCTTACAAACATAAGCCTAAAATTTAATCTTGAAGACCCAAATGAGAAAATCAATCTTTTTTTTTGGTAAAACAAAATATACAACTTACCCCATTGGGCCCATAGGACCTAGAAGACAAAATGAAAGCCATTTCAAAATAACATTTAAAACTTTTTTTATGTACAATAAAAAATTTCTAAAATTGAAATTTGAAAACAAAGCATTTTCTCAATGGAGAAAAACAAACCATGTAAAGCAATGATTTAAGGAACTTACCCATTCCCATTGGGTTCCCCATCATAGGACCACCCATTGGCCCCATGGGATTCATCATAGGGTTCCCCATAGGACCTCCCATTCCACCCATCATTGGGTTTGGCATTCCTCCCATGCCTGGTGGATAAGGCATAGGTTGACCCATATTATTCATTCCATTCATCATTGGTGTAGCCCCAACTGAGGTGGGTGGATTACTATTATCATCACCAGAATCAAGTTCACTAGTAGCTTCTGCAACTGAAAACAAACATACAAATGAAAAAAAATGTCTTTCCTCTTTTATTATGAAATAAGCAGGGACTTATTTAAAAAAAAAAAAAACATGAATAGCAATATCATATGCAAAATGCCTCAATAATCTCTGGCTTGACACCTACTTTTCTTGCTTTTGTTTTTTTCATGTGCTTTAACATCTTCTTCAGGAATTCCTTCCATGCCATATATTTCAATTTCTGTATTATTTCTTCCTGGTAGGCTATTAGGAACTTTGTCTATTTTTTCTTTGTGTACCTATGCATAGAATAAAAATTTCATATATATATATATGACAGTACAAACATTAACAAATGTACCAACAAGATAATAACAGAATTCATTCAGAGGACTTTCACCACCACTGAATTCACACTAGTTTGAAAAAAAAAATGAACCCTCAGTATTCCGGACCAATACAAATTTTGGAATATACCAATATTTTTTTATAACACAAATACATTTTTACTCTAAATTTCAGTAATGCAGTTATTTAAGACAATACAGAATTAAGTGCAATAAAGGCTTTGAAAAATGTTTAGGAAATGAAACATTCATATTTCTTTATACAATTAAAGAGGAAGGAAATAATATTAGCTTTGCAATTTAATTGACACATTACACTGTTTACCGTTTCTCTATGTTTAAAAAAAAAAAAAAATTCAATTTCCCTTTTTGAAACACACTTTCTATGCTTTCCAGTTTGAACATTAAATGCTACCAACAGAAAACAACACAAATTGTAGATATAACAAAATTATTTTTAAAAAATTCTATACCTGCATACAATGGATAGCCAATCCTGGACCTGTGTACAATTTTTTGTAACAAATGTGACATTTAAAATGCTTTGCCTTCTGATGTTGGATCAATATTTTCTCATCATCAAACTCTCTGTTGCAATACTTGATGGAAAGTTAAAGAAAGTGAAGGTTTGAAGTGGAAAAGGTACATTCTCTAGACGTGGTTCTCTTTTGTTCTGTTACATTTTTCTTTACAAATTGACTGCCAATACCTTGGGTATGGAACTAAAATGTTCAGTATTTTTACTGAGAGTGGAATATTTAACAGCTTAATATTTAAAAAGTTAGAAATATATATTGAAGTTGAAGGTTCTATTATGATTGAATATTTTGATCCAAATAAAGTGAAAATATAATCTGACTAGGAAGGCCTATTAATAGCAGGGAAAATAAAGGGAAGCTACGAATAAAACTTCTGCAGAGGCCTACTTAGCGATGACATTCAAGTGTCTAACCTAAGTGGTTCATAAACTGCTTTGTGAGCAATTTCTTATTAATTTAGGCCAAACATTAGCAAGTAAGTAGTCTGTCATAAATGGAACTAGAAAATTGTCTATTTCTATTAATCCAGTCAAATTTAGACATAATCGAGCATGGTTTTCTTTTTCTCAGTTTAAGTGAACCTTGTCCACACTAAAGCCCAGAAGCCCCATGGTGTGATGTATGAAAACAGGCAGGTGTCACATCTCGTTCAATTTAGTCGACGATTGTAGTAGCATACTGTAGGGTGCTCTTTAAAAATGTATATAAATGTCATAGTTTTCATGGGAAGCCTGGGACTTTCTGGGTCACATAACCAATGGATGACACCCCTGAGGCAGTTTGGCAACTGAGCTAACACTTTATGCCAATGACCTGTTCAGTGTGGTAAAGTCTGTTGTGCACACCTGAATTTTTTAACGCTAGTGGTTATTTTTAAATAACTTTTTAAAAAAAGTGCTGTGGTTGAAAAATAAGCCGTCTTTTTAATAAGTCTCAAGGCTACATTTAAATACTGCTTAATGTCAGCTTACATTAAAAAAAAAATTAACCATTAACCTGAGCGCCCCCACCCCAATAAAAACCATAGCTTTGACATAACATTAATTTGATTATTTGTGCCTTGCTTTATTCTAAGCTATATGAATAACAAATGCTTAAGGCATCAAATGTAATATAAAATATAAAAGTTAAGAGCTAAGACCTAGATCTACCTAGTAAAAGTCATAGTTAATTCTTACTAAGTTTTCATAATAGTAGTTATTAGTTAAGTTACAACTTACAATACAAGATAGATCAGTATTCACACTATCCACTATTTCAGTATCTAGTAGATCTACTACTACTATCTAGATCTAAAAACTAGCATTAGTCATGATTTTATTGTATTTTTCTCCCTGCATGTTTTTAAGGCATAATTTAAATCTACAATTCAATTGCAAATACTAAAAAGAACGCTCAGTAGCTAGATTGTCCACATTATCTATTAGTAGATGTAGATCTAGTATTAGTTGATACTTGTAAATATTCTAAGTAAACTACAAAATGAAATCAATTCAATTTATTACTATTCTTTATTAACTTTTTTTTTTTAAATCGGAAGAAACTGAGTCGAAATCGGGATGACAGAACAAATAATTTTTTAGGTGAAAAAGCGAGACAGTAGGCATGTCTGGACGACCAATCAACACACCACAGGTGCTAAGTTTGCAGTTAGGTAACTCTTGAAAGTTTCAGCTTGGGGTGTAATCTATGGGCCTAATCTAATTAAAAAAAACGTAAACTACTAAACCTACATACATGTATGCACAATTAGCAACTTGGGATGAGGAATATCAAGGGCCAAATAAATTTCTAGTGAGTAGGCCTAAATAATAAAATATGAAGAAATGCTGCCCAACTACAATTCTAGATCTAGTAATCTAGACTAGTAAATTTACACTAAATTATTCTAAATGACTAAATTAATAGATTCTAGCTTGATCTAGTAGGGCCTAAATTCTATCTCTAAAAATGCTATCGCGATGGTTAGGCCTAAACGCTTATAAATGACTTTTATAAACTATACGAGCCGGCCCGCGGCATAACATACGCCGCTTTTTAGTTGTTTCTAATTTTCAATAATTCATAATTTGTGAATTCGACAGTACCAACGCTGACACTGAAAATATTTCTTTAAAACACTATAAGTAGCTCGTTAAGGACCATAACCCCCCCCCCCCCCCCCCCTACGTTTAAAATCGTTGGCTCTGCTTGTAAACATTTAGAGTGAACACAGCTCACTAAAACCATGTAGGGGTGGGGAGGTAGGGAGAGCGTTTGCAGCTTGTTTTCTAACGGCTCGAAGAAGAGAATTATATATATAGATATTTCTAGCTATTCTTTTAGTATTTTAATTGGAGGCCACAGAGTTGACGAGAGAATCCTTCCATGGATAAAATAAAATTTGTTCTTTGAAGGCCTATATTTTGACTTCAGAATCTAAAAATAATTCAGAATCAAGGTTATAAAAGTTGCACATCCAGAGAACTTAACAATATTTTTGAGTCTATATTTGTATTTATTTTCATCAAGCCTAGATTTGTAAGACAAACATTGATTGGCTGGACGGGAACTATGTGATCGATAGTTATTTGTTTACAAGACTATGCATATAGATCTAGACTTAAAATTTTTAAATAACATAATGCTATTTTAAACCACATGACCTAAATCAGAGTTCTGCCATTTCTGTTGACATTTTGTATAATAAAATTTACGAAGTGACTAGATCTACTCGGAAAAAGAGTTTTCTCCCAACGTCTCCACTTAGTCGACAAAAGATAGTACTGCACCTGCGCAGTTACCTATGGCTAGGGTTAGGGTTGAGGCTAGGTCTACGGTTGTAAACACACGCATGCGCAGTAACATCATAAACATCGCAGCATTTTTGTGTTTCAGTTGTGTTTATAAAATACGCTCAACTGGAGGTGAACGTGAGGCGGGGAATAAAATACGCTAAAATGGAGTTTTACCCTTGCTTGGGTCTATTGGAAATTGGCCTCCCGTACTCTAATAAAATTTGTAGGCTAGCGGCTAGCCTAATAAAAATGTCAAAATTATCAGCCGCTGGGTTGGTATTCTAGATCTAGATAAAAAAAAAAATCCCCACGATGTTTCGTTACTTAGGCCTTCTTTGATAAAGTTATAAACAAAACTAGATCTAGTTATTAGATTATATATTATATAGATCTAGAATCTATCTAGATATCTAGATTCTAGCAGTCCTAGCGGCTAGCTAGAGTGAGTTTACCGAGCATTGACATGCCAGAGCGACCAACCAACCTTCTAGTCAGCAGAGCCTCCATAATAAATAAATTTATAAAGGCATAGGCATACAACATGATAAAATATTAATTCAAATATTCGCTTTTATTTGTATTAATCAATATCAAAAGGATATCAACACCACGGTTTCATCTGCTTCTTCTTTTTCCTTCCCATTTTTATGCTGGTAAAGAGACTGATCAACAAGAAAGTAAAACGAACAAATATGGCGTCTTAGAAAAAGAAATGAGGTGGCCAGATAATTGATAGGCTCGCGGAAAATTGAGTTTCCTACGCCTAAGCTAGGCCTAAATTTAAAAAAAGCATATGCCTAATGCCTAGATCAGAATCTAGACTAGATTTTCAATGCTGATTGCAAATTTTTCCTCGAAAATTACCATGCTTTAAGTGTAAATAATTAGTTTTCATAACCATAATTAATTTGTGCCTGGAATTTTCCAGTTTACACACTGGACCTTAGAGCCGATGCATTTTTAATGTATTTCATTTTTGAAACGTAGATCTAGAACTATTTCCTATTAAAAGGGAAACAACTTATTTTTTTAAAACTAAAGGTGTTCATCTAGCAAGCCTATGCTTTTTTTATTTGGAACTTAATAATTTAGTTAATGCTGAACTTTAACTTTAGTATTCTACGAACATAAATTAAGCCATCAAGCATAAATGCATATTTTTTTTTCTATTTGCATTACAGCAGAACGTTTTAAGTATAAACAATAATGATGTGGAGTTGAGTCCGTAAAACGTCCCATTTAGTAGCGTTTCTTTCAAAAAATGTATCGGGGGAGGGGGGATATATTTTGAATATAAATTCTATTTCTTTGGGTGGGGAAACTCTACTTTGCCTGCCCACAGGGACCGTAAGGTTTGAAAGAGTTTTTTTTTTTTTTTTTTAAATTTTCAACTATAGAAAAGCCCTTCCATAAATGTACATTGGCAACTATTATCTGAACCCCCCACCCCACCCGCTTTTTTTGTTTCACTATTTCTACCCAATGAAATTCTTATTTAGAATATTTTTTGAAGTGTGTTTAAAACGCACTGTTTTTTAAATTTAAAAAAATTATATTTCCGTTAGTAGTATCTTTATGTTTCGATCAATTTCTTCTATGAATTTTCAATGTTTTTAAAATACGTGCTTTTAACCAGTTTTCTTATTTTAAATATATAGATATAGGCTTATATGCTATTTCTTTTTTAATTTATATTTTTAAAAAAAAGTTAAGTTGATGTTATTGGCGCTGATCTATAGTGCATTGTCCCATTGCTTGAGTTATGTCCCCTCAGTTAAACCTTTGTTTTCAGGATCGAAAGTTTGCTTGTCGGCAACGGGGTTCACAGAAAGAAGCGCAATGGGAAAAAAGCGCAAAACAAAATGCGCAACGTTATGTCCCCTCAGTTAAACCTTTGTTTTCAGGATCGAAAGTTTGCTTGTCGGCAACGGGGTTCACAGAAAGAAGCGCAATGGGAAAAAAGCGCAAAACAAAATGCGCAACGTTATGTCCCCTCAGTTAAACCTTTGTTTTCAGGATCGAAAGTTTGCTTGTCGGCAACGGGGTTCACAGAAAGAAGCGCAATGGGAAAAAAGCGCAAAACAAAATGCGCAACGGAAAAAAGCGCAAAAAGAAAAAAGTGCTAAGAGAAAAATGCGCAACCAGAAAAAAGCGCAAACAGAAAAAAGCGCAAACAGAAAAAAAGCACACACAAAAAAAGCGAAAAGTGAAAAATACACAACTGGAAAAAAGCGCAAACAGAAAAAGCGAAAAAATAAAAATACACAACCGGAAAAAAGCGCAAACAGAAATTTGCGCACACCGAAAAATGCGCAAAGATACATTTAGCACAAAGACCTATATGGACTAGATGACACATTTATACATGGTTGTTAGGGCTGCTGTGAGAGGGTCGACTTTGACCTGATGCGTACCATAACAACCCGTTCCTATCGCAAAACTTCACTCTATTTCATCCGCGTCATAAACATGCATTCATTATATCTCTCGCACCAACATCCATTCGCACCGAAATACCCTGATAAAACACACATCATAACAATGATGTATTTAATATTATTTTATAATGACGCGCAGGTAGGTAGGTTAGTAGGATGGTACGAAGTAGGAAGGTAGGTATGTAGGTAGGTAGGCAGGTATGTGCGTCATGATGAAATTAGTAACGGGTTGTTATGGTATGCAGACTAGGGAGTTCGGACTAGGGAGAATGTAAGAGATACTTCGTGCAATGCCGATATCAATGATATTTTTATGAGAATAGTAGTTGAAAGAATATTGAATAAGAAAATAATAGGCATTATGTCAAGTAATTATCGCCTGTATTGTTGTGATGTGAATGCTCATGGTAGTGATATTCTTTAAATGGTAGTAGATCGCGTCATATATAGAAGTGTTGAGTGAGTTGCCAGCAAAGAAAAGTCCTTGAGATGTTGCTACAAAATCCTTAAATTTCAATGTACACACATAAAACTAGAACCGAAACATTATCAATAAAAACCTACACGCGCTACGATTCGTTAGCTTGAGCTGTCCAAAGAAATGCCTTTAAAAAAAACATTATTTTGTATCATCACAATTCTCTGGACATCGTCAACATTTCTTTGATCCTGGCTGTCCGGTTATTATGTTAAGTTCTGTATTCATTTTATGGTTGTACTGAATCCGTTTTATATGTTTTCTGCTAATTACCGCAAAGATTTTTAAATTATGCCACAAACTAGCTTTGGAGAGAAGTGAAGTGGGACACGATGTTCTACATTTTCTGTTTCGTAGTAAAATCGGTATCCCACTTTTCACCATTCTTCCCCCCCCCATATATATATATTTATATATATATATATACATATATATATATATATATATATATATATATATATATATATATATATATATATATATATATATATATATATATATATATATACATACATATATATATATATATATATATATATATATATATATATATATATATATATATATATATATATATATATATTGAACTTCCCATGACCAAAACCTTCGTACGCAACTGTTGTCAACGACGCAGACCATCCCAAAGTACAGGCCAGCCAACTACAGTTACTTGGGTATGTATGTCTTGTCTGGTCACTCTACTGACATGGCATGGGTTGGTGAGTCGTTGTACTGACCTAACCAAGGGTCACTTTACCAACATCACATTTTATCTCGGGTCACTTTGTTATAATTAAATAAACCGGGAGTAATCTCCCCAAAACTTTCTCGAATATTCTTATATAACTTGGAATATAGACATGATTTTTAATTACTTAAACTTTTATAATAGAATAGAATCTCATAGAAAAAAGAATTGCGCACCAAAAACGCCAAAACAAAATGTGCATAATAGTGCGCAATATTATTAATACTTTATAAATTTACATGCGTTTTTTTTGAGAAATAGGAAATAGCGTAAATTAGTACTTCCGGTCGACGGAAATTACTCAAAATTTGACAGAAGGTAGAGAATTAGATCTTCTACTTACTTGTGAAATTTCATATATCTATCCTAAATAGTACTCAAGTTATAGGCTTTTGAAAAATTCAAAGTAGAAAAAGTACCACTTCCGGTTATTGGAAATCGCTCAAAATTTGATACTGATCTACGATTTTGATATAATACTTATATATGAAATTTCATCAACCTAGCTGTAACGGTACTCAAGTTATCGTGTTTACACACAGACAGACAGACAGACACACAGACATCCGGACAAGATTGCAAAATTATGTTTTTCCGTATCAGTGAGGTGTAAAACGTCGAGATTTGTAAAAATCTCGATTATTTTTTTTGCACGATTACAAGACTTTCTCTATACTTCGTATATACGAGAAAGTAAAAAAGCTATTTAAATAGTAGACTATAATGTATTTTCTCCTTTTTAGTGCATTATTACATAAAAGCTTGCTATTAAAAAGTTTTGTATGAATTAAAAAAAAAATAAACCGGGAGTGATCTCCCCTAAACTTTCTCGAATATTCTAATATAACACTACAGGGGATGGCAACTCGGGATATAGACTTCTAGACATGATTTTTAATCCATTTTAAATACTCACATTTCTTAAAATAGAATATAATCTCGTAGAAAAAAGAAATGCACACCAAGTGAACGCTAAATAAAAAAGCGCATAATAGTGCGCAATATTATTAGTACTTTATAAATTTACATGCGTTTTTTGAGAAATCGGAAATAGCGTAAATAAGTACTTCCGGTCAACGGAAATTACTCAAAATTTGACAGAAGGTAGAGAATTAGATCTTTTACTTACATATCAAATTTCATTTATCTATCTGAAATAGTACTCAAGTTATAGGCTTTTGAAAATTTCAAAGTAGAAAAAGTACCACTTCCGGTTATCGGAATTCGCTCAAAAGTTGATACGGATCTACGATTTTGATAAAATACTTATATATGAAATTTCACCAGCCTAGCTGTAACGGTACTCAAGTTATCGTGTTTACACACGGACACACAGACACACAGACACACAGACACACACACAGACATACGGACAAGATTGCAAAATTATGTTTTTCCGTATCAGTGAGGTGTAAAACGTCGAGATTTGTAAAAATCTCGATTTTTTTTTTTGCACGATTACAATACTTTCTCTATACTACGTATATACGAGAAAGTAAAAAATGGTATCAGCGATGGATTATAGAGATTATCCCTAAATCAGCCATTAACGATGCAAGAATTGAGATAATCCCTAACTCAGCCATTAACGGTGCAAGAATTGAGATCATTCCTTAGTCAACCATTAACGGTGCAAGAATTGAGATCATCCCTAACTCAGCCATTAACGGTGCAAGAATTGAGATCATCCCAAAGTCAGCCATTAACGGTGCAAGAATTGAGATCATCCCTAAGTCATCCATTAACGGTGCAAGAATTGAGATCATCCTTAAGTCAACCATTAACGGTGCAAGAATTGAGATCATCCTTGTCAACCATTAACGGTGCAAGAATTGAGATCATCCATAACTCAGCCATTAACGGTGCAAGAATTGAGATCATCCCTAAGTCAGCCATTAACGGTGCAAGAATTGAGATCATCCCTAACTCAGCCATTAACGGTGCAAGAATTGAGATCATCCCTAAGTCAGCCATTAACGGTGCAAGAATTGAGATTATCCCTAAGTCATCCATTAACGGTGCAAGAATTGAGATTATCCCTAAGTCATCCATTAACG